ATAACAGGTGTTTACATATTGTTTTATTGATTATAAAACATGTCTCAGGAGACAGTGTTACTCAATCCAACCCAGTTCTAAGACTTGCTCAGTGTGCTTTCTCATGGTGTCTTACCTGTCCATATCAGCTGGTGAAATGCATGATTGTATGCAGGGCAAAAGCATATCTCAATGTTATGTAGACTCAGTGTCAGCTTTTGATCTTCTTTAACTTCAGTTTTGTGCACATCAGGAGAGCTGTGCAATTGATGTGATGTAAATTTCATGTGGCACAAAGTAAAATGTGAATGGAGTTTGGAATATCTTTGGCAAATTTTGCATTTACCGGTAATAAAAGGGATATATTGTTGGATGCATGAGGGATTAATCTGGATTATTTATGTCAGTCTGTGATTTTGGATTTTCAAGATGCATACAGAGATTTTCCGTTCCACTTTTACTCTGAAACTAAGCAAGCCGAAATGCACTGTTGATTTAGGTAAGTAAAATCATTGTTGTTTAGAGTTACCTCTCTTTGGGATGTACGAAACAAAACTATCATAGCAAACACATTGCCTAGGTGCATTATGGAAATTGTTAATGTAGCATGTCATGGTCACAGACATCCAAATGTAACTGTAGATCACATTGTCATTGCATTTATATGCAGTTGGAGCATTCTCTTTAGAATCAGTTCACGTCTTCTATAGTCCATGTTGAAAAATCATTTTATGGAGAGCTTTAAAAAGTTGTGTCAAGTTTTCATAACATTTGTTTGTGGTGGAGATGTCTCCAGCTTTATTTACAGAATCATGTAAAAACACACTGTGAATGCTACCTTAGCTTTGTACAATAGCTCTCCGGTCCGATTAAATAAGTAGAAAAACATCAAAATCTAATAAACTGTTGTAGATAGCTCCTCTGTCGTATGTTTGGTTTTCTTAACCACATATTATTTCACTTGTGTAATGGATAAAGATCCTTTCTATAGTAACAGGTTTTTAGTGAATTGCATGGCTAATCATTTGTGGTCCTTACTTTTGGCTATAAATGTTTTGAAGAATCTGTGACATAATGCTAAAATACTTGTGAAAAATACTGTACCTCATTTCAATTTGAATAAAAAGTGCATATTAATTTAATCTGATAATAATGACATTGTTTGATAAATTATAAGTCCTTTCTTAAGAATCTTTTTATTACAATTTTTGGGGGTGTTTTCTGTTCACCTTTTTGTAAGCAGGTCAATTTAATAAAACAGGTGTTAGATTTTTATGTTTAATTTGAGGACATTGGAATGCCACGGTAACTCATGAATATTTACACATATTTTTAAGTCTAGGTTTCAAGCAAGCATTTTGAAAACTTAAGATTTGTGTTCACTCTCATAGTTAGCTCTACAACAATGCTGGTTGATTAAGTGGATTATTTTACTGTGAAAAAATTGGGTAGTTTCTTTCATTTTGGCTATTTAAGCACAAAAATTGGGTCAATGGACTTATGTGACATACAAAGGTTTTTGTTTGATTATTTACCTGGAGGGAATGAAAAATGGAAAATTGATTATCTACAGTTTTGTGATCTGGGAATCTTAACAGGCAAGAAAACCTTGGGATTTATTAAATTATGTTGAGTCTTCATGGAGTATAGAGGGTTTTATTCAGAGAAATGACTTAGGTTCTTCTGTGTATAAAAGCCAGTGCTGAGTGGCCTCCAACAAAACCTAATAAGGACTGATATTTTCATAAGCATATAAATAAATGGTTTTTAAATTGCCAGCATTAGTGGACACAGGATCAAAGTCTTCAGTAAATCTAGCTGTTTTTCTCGCACCACTCTCCAAGTGTACGAAGACAAAAGAACTATGGGAACTGCCGGGAAATCTTCAGACAATTGGAGCTAGTTAATCTTGTTACAACATTATAATTCCCAACAAGTGGAAGGATAAAAGGATCAAATGGCTTAGAACTTTAAACCCAATTTTTCTGCGACAATTTTCGTGAACCTTTTTTTTAATTTTAGAGGTATGTAAAACTTGGTCATCCTAACTCCATAGGGTACCATGATTGTCTAGAAATTTTGTGGCCCTGGATTTTATAGACTTTGGTGGCTTTGGAAATCATTGCATGCAAAGGTAACTTTTGGTATTACTGGCTCATTAATCATTGGCTGATTACAATGTCAATTAAAAGTCCACAAATGTCACTGAAACCTGGACCTTGTGATAGCGCCCAGACAATATAACAGAGTTTTTGGTGGTGTTTGGGCAGAATTTCGCTGGATTTTCAGTCAACCTGTATATGGAAATAGAAAAGGATAGTCTAATATTATTGTAGAGAGCCAAAAGACTTCCATCAAACTGTGAAATATTCTGATGTTTTATAATTATATCAGCCTGGAATCCTTCTGTTCTTTTGACAAGTTTTTACTGAAGTGGATGATCATTATGAGAGAAAAATTCTGCGGAAATTAATCTGTGCTCTGTTTGTTTTGTATTTAAAGAGATCTGTCTTGGATTTTGTTGGAAACAGATGGAGGATATAAGAAATGAGCAGGTCGGAATGATTCTGTTGTTCCAATTTGAGAAACTCTGATCTGTATATATTCTGTCTACCTGCCAAACACCTTGCCTTGATGTAATAATTGTGTAGCGTACATATATTCTGTGATCACGAGGAAATTGCAGACTGTCGCTATATTTTGGACAGACATATTGTGTGGTCAGCCTTGTCCCCAGGGGAAGTGCCATGTTAATGTTCCTTTTTTTGTGCTTCATGACATGTCATAGCAGAAAAAGATGTATTGCAGAGATGGGTCTCTCATGACAGTTGCCTCTAATGAGAAGACAACACTAGAAATACTTGTGGTGGATTAATCTATTAGTCTCTCAGTGATTATCACAGTAGATAAATAGATCAATTGATAATCTGATCACCCTGTCTGACAAAAATTAGTTCTGGTCTGTCAGTGTTTACAGCAGGATTTGTACCTTAATATCTGGGGATCTTTAAGCTCCTGAAATGTGTTAAAATAGATAAAAGAGCAGATAGAAAGACAATTCTATAATCACTTATTAAGTGCAACAGACATTGGATTGTTTAAGTTAGGAATCAAGTGCTATGGTCTTTGTTGATATTAAAGCTACTTGAAGTGACCAAGGTGCTTGCTCGATTGACCAGCCCAAGGGATCAGAAGTGATCCGTGGAATAATCATTTTCCATTTTATTTATACCTGCATCAAGCTTAATGGGCCTAGAATGAGATTTCAGAGTATATTATTTTAAAAGTGTCTTCCTGTCATAAAGACTGGATAGTGGAAGAAAAGCGCAACATTTTATATCTGGGGTGTTGTGTTCTGTAACACAAAGTTATTGTGCAAATGGACACCGTCACTGATACATATCTAAGTAGCCTTGTCCTTGAAAATGTAAAATTTGAAGTAAATTTTTAATGTGAATTTGGATTTGAGGAGAAAACAGATTGATTCAAAATGGAGCTGCGAGCTATTTTTGAGCGTATTTATGAATGGCTTTACTGGATATTTACTTTGTTTGGTTATTTTGGTAAGTTGACGTTCTTAGAAATATTTAGAATATACACTGAACAGTGCTTGGCATTTATTTCATGAGAAATTATTAAAGAAATCCACAGGAAAAAAAAAAATGAAAAAATCAAATTTGTATCCATGCTTTTAATATTGTGTGTTATATGAGTTCTTACTGTGGAATATTTCTCTGGAGAAGTTTTGAATAATTGAAAGTCACTTTATCAGTAAATATAATTAACTTTACAGATTAATAATGTATGTAATTAACTTAACAGATTAATAATGTATGTTAACTCATTTTTGATGTGATTAATAATTTTTGATTATTCCGTAGGAGAAACAATTTTGTCGATCTGCTTTGAATTGATTTAGGTTGTTGAAGTTATTACAGTACATTAAATTTGTCTTCTATACTTTTATTGCCTGAGATGTCCTATGCATCATTTAATGACGTACATTCAATTTGGACATCAGTGCTGTATAATTAATCAGTTGTAAGACATCCTCTGCATCATTTTTAAAATCATTTACATTGAACATTGCATAAATTAAAAGCTTGATTTTCTGCATAAAGGTAAAATATTTTTTTCTGAGGGTATTAAGACAGGCTTGCACTGTAAAGTTTTACTAATTAGCATTTTCATTGAATTCTGTGTCTATCCCACTTCCGGGATGTTTGTATACCTGTATATCTATGTGATTCTGGGATGAAAAAAAATTCTTTAACTTTTGTAGCATTATTTAAAAATGGCACAAAGTTCTTCTTTGAAATTAGATAGTATATATCCTTATAGGATGATTTCATTGAAATATGAAGACTCCTTTGAAATTCAGTAAGTGAAAAAGTCCTGAACCTAAAATTTAGTTTTCAATGGATGAAAAATTGTTTTCAGGCTCAGATTGCAAACTGTTGTATGAAAAGAAATAATAGATACAAAACTGGTGCTCTAACTAGAGAATAGCCTTCCTCAAGGCTCACTATCACACCTGACAAAGAATTACCCTGCAGAACTTCTATTGATGGTTCCCTCATGATTGTGTTGACAAATGTTTATTTCACCTCGACCTTCTGTAACTATTGATTGGTGTATTTTAAAAGCTCAGAGAAATCGGCTGCCAATAAGGTTCAGGTATTAATTCTGTGTTATGTATTCCCCGTACCTTCATTGATTACATTTTTTCAGTTGAATGACGAAAGGTTGTGAAGGATTACTGAAAATTTGGATGTTTGAATTCGTCTAGGTGGGAGATAATGCTTTCACCTGTCAGTTTTCTGTCTGAAACCACATGATATAAAGAAGATTCATACATTATTTATTGGAAGTGGAAGGTAGATCCGGAAATTCGTTATTTATATACAATAAGATTTTTTTTATGGGCTTAACAGGTTGAACAGGTTTGTATGAAGGGATTTCATATATGTGGGTCAATTTTCACCTGAACGTCATTGTCATTTATTCTTTCTGTCTTTTAGATGTTGGACGAAGGGGCCTAGAAAAACGCACAAGTGAGTCGGATGTAAAGACACAAGAAACGTCTGTTTCACCTGTAAGTCGATTATTTGTTGTTAAACCTTTTAATGTGCTAGTGCACTCAACAGTCGCAATATTTATTATGGTTTTATTTACTTGGAAAGAAATTTATGTTTCTGTTTTTGTTTGGATGAAAGGGACTTTCACTCAAGTGCGATGTCCCACCTTAAACTTTTGACTCATTTCTTGTCATATTTTATAAATCAGCGAAACTCCCACATGAAGCTGGTATTTTTTTCTCAGCACATGTTAATGTGTAAATAGCTGACGCATGTTGAATTTAGACATTAGATGAAAAATTATTCTTGTGAAGTGCAGTTCGTGTGGATTTGATTTCATTTTGACTTGTTTAATTGCCATGCTCTAATGCATGATATGTATTTTATCTGTATGAAATATCAATGATATTCTTCAATATGCTCTCCAAGGTAAATTTGGGGTTGATTTTAAAATGAAATGTAAATATTTGCTTTTGAGAAATTATTCTTGGCTAAAAGGTCTTTAGCTTTAAAAATGATATTGAATTTAACATTTCTGGGTCACATGACAAGGGATCAGTGTTTTGTTAACCAAGGCTCTTTAACAATTTACAAAAAAAGTTCAAGAAAAGGAGAAATTGGAAGCATATGGTGTGTAATAAGTGTCTTGATATATTTTTGTCACCTTTTTGTTGCACTTTTATTGTGTGTGCATTTTGAATGCTAATTTAAGTTTTGTGATTTTTTGTGTTTTTTGCATTTTTCCCATAGGATGTCACAACTAATCACATCCCTAAGCACAATCTTACTAACAATTTTGTGAGATCCCATCACCATGACAACGGGACTGAGCAGTATGTTTCACAGTCAGGCAGAGCTTCTGTGTTAGACTCCATCTTACCCTCCAAATTCTCTGTGCCGTCCAAGGTAAGAACTTCTGGTTTTACAAAATCCTTAAGCTTTGTCATCTAAAGGGTAGAGGGTGTGTTCCATCAAGTTATTTTGTGAGGTAATGTCCTGAGAGGAAGATTTATGATTTTTTAGATCTTAAAAATTAGCTCCATTTGAATCAGATTGTGCCAAATGCTAAAAATATTGGAATATGTCATTTACCTTATTAATATAAATCCTGACCTGTTCAAGAGCAGATCTTTTCACTTTAATAAAATGCACAATTTTAAGTAACGTTAGTTATTTAAATTTTTTTCTTATAGTATTTTAATTTGCATTTGGATGCATTGTTATGTTATTATTAGATACACCTTCATACATATATTATAAAAGGTTAAAAAAAGTCCACACATGATGATCTCAGGCAGACATAAGCACCCGGTTTTATCAGATATTGGTCATGAATGAAGTACCTTGTCTTTTTCATTTGTTTGATTTGGAAAGGCACCCAATTGACACCTATGTTATTTAAATAGAAATGTTTCCTTGTAAATACATTCATTCATCTGAAATATACTACCAGGTCTTTTAAACAATACAGCCCAATCCTCTATTGAGTAATCTAGTTTACATCTTTGAATTAGACTACCTTTAGAAAAGACGTTGATTTGTTGAACGTATAGTGATAAAATTTTACTCTGTGGCATGTCACAAAATTATTCAGGTGTTGACCTAAAGATTGTGAATCCCATTTGCATGGATATGTTGATTTGTAATTAGTTATCGTGGAGATTGCATTAGTGAGTCATTCCATTAGAGACGTTTTACAAGAAGCATGTGGACTAGCTTTGTCTCTCTCTGAAAACAGATACTGTATAAAATATCGACATGTAAGGGTTCATAATGAGACAATAAAGATAGGGTAGGTTCACAGCGATTTATCTTGTAGAATAGTAATGATGGAGAGATTAAAGATAGATTTTAAAATTCTGATTAGTAATAACTGCTTGTGTGTTCTTTGATTTCATGCACAAAATTTGATGTTTTCTGAAATTTGAATCTTGTCTGCACTGATAGATTGATCATGTCTGGCACAGAATGTATTAATAGCATGGTTTGCATGTCACTTAACCAATGGCTTTGGTATTTCAGGTCTCGTCAGTCATCAACCGATTTTCGGGGGAATTTGGAGACAAGAAGATAGATTCCAAAACAGCCAAGAAAACAGAGGAGACAACACATAGGCATATACCTATAGTCAGGAGAAAAAATGATTTCTCTTCTCTGTTACAGAAATTTTCAGGTTCTAACGGAGAATCCGGAGATGTGTCGCCCAGAAGGAAAGTAAATCTTCATCGTCAGGAAGCTTGTGCTGTTGGCAGCAGCGACGAATCGGATAGTCGCCGAACCCCCGAACGGACTCAAAGTTTACGTGTGAAAAAGTCCCCTTCTCCTGATGAGAAAAAAGGGGTACAGAGATCTGAGAGCTTCAAGTCGGATTTTATGCGCAAACGATACAGTCCTGAAACTGTGATAAATACACCATTGGAAGAAGATTCCGAAAACATGGCAACCCCAAATCCAGAGCTTGCAGCTATTTTGAACAGACGCCACAAAGTGGTCACTGATCAACAGATCAAAGGACAGGAGTTAGAAAGGGAACAAATTTATAGCAAAAAAGTAGAAAAAGAAGACATAGCCCACAAACCAGCAGAAGTGGATGAAGTTATTTGTGATGTGCAAGTAGCTTCTAAATTGAAATCGAGGCTAAATGAAACTGATTCTTCTAACACAAGGGAAGGTGCTAACATTGATGATCGTTTTAAATCTTATCAAAAGACAGATGACATCATCACAGATTCTGAGGTAGCAGATATACTCAAAGCCAGGAAAAAACAAACTGACTCCAAAGTAGGCGAAGGTAAGGTTATAGTAAACAAAGACTCTGACCAAAGCTCAGAACAAACGCCAAAGGTTGTAAGTGATGATACAGTAAATAAACAAGAACAATCATCTCTGGCTCCCCCATCGAAAACAGAGGGCAGTCAAGCCAGAGTGACTTCATCAGTGTCTGAGGTTACCAGTAGTGTTAGCCAATTAGTGACCAGTACAAAAGCCCAGTCACCAGAACAGAGCAGCAGTATCGACAGCAAAAAGTTTGCTGAGAAACTAGAAACAGAGAAAACTCCTGCTGCAGGAATTGTGTCACCAATGCCTCATATTGTATCAAACATTATGACAAAAGCTTCATCACCAGATCAAAACCGCATTACTGACAGTGAAAAGTTAGGTGAGAAATCAGAACCGGAGAAAACTGCTGCAATGCCACATGTTGTGTCAAATATAAAGTCCTCAGAATTCCTTGAAAAGGATTCAGATAAGGAAAAATCACCACTGAGATCTCTCAGATCATCTGTGTCTCCAAGTAAGGACAATGTGTCATCTGTGGAATCCTCGTCTTCATCTAAATCATCAGCCATTCGTCGAGCGGAGTCATACGGGGCCAAGGACAGCGATCGTCCAAAGGGAATTCTCAAACGGACCAAGTCCATGAAATCCAGTGTGATCGTGGATGAGGAATTAGCCGGTATTTTACGAAGACGTAAGATGAAACAGGACAACAGTGACAGCGATGAAAATGGTGACGATAAACAAGACGTTGCCAGTGATATTCAAGAAACACTCAGGTAAGGAGAGTGTGGACATAGGTGGATGAAGGTTAAGATGAAAATGATCAACTTTTCTGTTAAAATAAAACTTCTGTTTAGCCATTTTTAGATCTAAAGTTTACAGTTAGATGCACAGGTATATTTTTGATATAATTTGTACCTCCTAAGTTTTCTATCTTTATGAATAGAATGATACTACTTCAGTTTTATTATTGTTCAGAAGAAATTGTATATTAGAAATATTTATTTAATACAGGCTCAATCTATTTTAAATCTATAAATATTTACAAAGCACCTGGCAAAATGTTTTCCATGAAATCAAGGAATAGGTCATACTTCTGATTTTGATGTTGGTTGCTTTGGAGTTATCCCTCTTTTGTGTTCTCTATCTCAGACTAAAGCTTCTCTTAGAATCAGGAACTCTATGATAGTTAGGTCAGTGTACACCCTGTGAACATTTATATTGTACATGTACTAATACATGTATGGTTGTCATGCTGCAGTATATTTATCTTAGAAAACTGGGATTGTAGTAAAACTGTCCGGAAGCTGCTTCCTGTACAAGCCACTTAATCTTTAGAAGAGATTAAAATAAAATGAATCATTATACATTGTGACTATGACAACGTAAATAATATGAAATTTACTCAGAATAATTACTTTAAACAAAAGTGTGGAAAAACAAAGGAAATATTGGTGGATCCTAGTAGAAAGGAACGTTTTAGATTAACTTTGTACCTGTGAAGGTTTTGTTGAGGAGTATATTTATAATTAAGAGTGTGTGGAAGCTGACAATAATGAATGCCGATAGTATGATAGGAATGGCTGGTGTCTGTTTTCTATTGCTGGTAGTGTATATCATATTCTGTCACTTCTCCAGAACTAAGAGAAAATCTCCCAGGGATTCATCACATGGCATCAAAGAGTAAGCTTGGCAAAAAGAAAAATACAAAAAAGATATATAAGATATATTCTAGATATAACTTGTTTGCCACCTACATCATTTGGTTATCTGTCATTTTCGCTCTTTTGTTTTAGGAGGGAGAAGGAATTTCGGGGGGAGACCAGCATAGAGGAGAAAGATGGCACACCTAAACTTTCCATGCAGGAGAGGATTTTTCAAATGCAAAACAAATTGGAGGAAGCCAAGTCATGTCCTATAACACCCCGAGCCAAATCAGGAACCGCAACTCCAAAATTTGCCTTTAAAGGGAGGTAAGCATGATATTTTTGGGTGTAGTTGAACTTATGACCATTACTACATTACAATCAAGGTCAGGATACATGAAAGTACAGTTTTATTGCTGGTAATAAAGGGAACATAAATTCTTAAATCAGAGGTTTCCAAATGTCAGAAGTTTTACTTTTTATTTACACAACATAGAAGATGGCTTAACCATAAAATCTTTATTAATCTACCAAAAGATTATTATTCTCATTAGAATTAGACAAGGAATCGTTTAAACTGCATCTAAGGTGATTGACACATTGCATCACAGAACAAACAACACACGGGAGTTTCTTTTCCTCTGTTTTGTTTCTTACTATTCTCCTGGCTTGTACTCGTGCCAGATTTCTGCAGTCAGAGCTTTTTTTAGGTGAAGAAGAATGTCAGACATAGGCACCAGTGACATTTCTTACTAGGAGAAGTACAGTTGTCTCTAACAGAGAGTATTTTGTGTTTTGCTTCAGAACTGGTAGCTTGACTCCTCATTCTCAGAGCACAGATGAGCAGAGCTCAAGCTCGATTTGTGGTGAGCAGCTGATACAGAAACTCAGCAACCTCGCCGAGCTCGGCCACAAAGTGGGAAGCTTGGAGGAGAAGCGCAAGGCCTTCCAGAAACGTAAGAGGGAGGACTGGAGAACAAGAACTCAGCCAGTCACGTTAGAGGAAATACAGGAGGCTGATGGGTAATTATATCCTAAAGTTATATGTGTATAAGATGTGTAGTGTGCTTCTGCTAATTATAATAGATAATTTGTTAATTTTGTGCATATAATATGTACTGTATATATTGTTGTGAAATATATTGTCACTGTGTTACTCTAGAAATGGTACTTTGAAATAATTATAATGCTTCATTAATACTTGATTTCACAATTTTCAATTTCGTTAATGCTTTATTTATCTTAAAGAGTCTGCATTTAATGAGAAGTTATGATTAGAACTTTACTCAGAAAAAAACAATATATATATATCTAGTCTTGTAGCATTAAAATCACAATCTGCTTTTCATATAAAAATGGGAATTTACTTAGTACTATTATTTCTTGTGCATACTATGATTAATGGTGCTAGGGATTAAGGATTTTGTGGGTTTATATTGTGTTTTAGATTTTGGGGGTAGCTTTTGTTGTTTGCTATTTTGCAGTTTACAATCAGTTGCTGATTTTAGATGTGAAGTGTTAAAAAAGTCATCCAAAAATGTGTTCGAACAACTTGAAAAAGACACAAAGAAATTCCTTGGAAAGAGAAGTGAATTTCCCCAACATCTTCATAGAGAAAAACTGAGACGATCTCGAAGGGAACGCCATAAGACTTTGCCGATTACTGCCGCGGAGCTCAATGCCATTCCTGAAGGGGAGCCAATCGGAATGGCAGGACTAAGGAAGAAATCCGATTGGTCAGGAGCCAGAGACTCTAAAGCCGATTCTGGTATTTTATCAGGGTCATCTGATGTAGAAAATTACTGTGATAGTTTTGAATTCCAAACCTCAGAGGAAAGCCTCCGGAGTCTGAGTCTGGATCTGGATACACACGAGGATGATCCAGCCAGACTTAGTGTGTCTGCTAAAGCGTCCATGTTTACAAACATCGTAGAGAAGGCCAAACCGGATAAGCCCAAGCCGTGTGCTAGTGGAGCTAAGAGGTACATCGACAGGAAGAAGAGAGAGAGATGTCAGACACAGCCGGTTACGGAGGAGGAGGTGAAATCCGCGGCGGAGATTGCCGATGGCGGGAAATCCGAGGGCGAAAAACCGCAGCAAGAGGAAGAGGAAAAGACGGATGATGCTGCTAGGTTGGTGTGGAATCTTTGCTAGCTTGTCCAGCAAGCCTGAGTCACATTCTTATGTTTAAATATTTATTTTACTTTTTTTAAAATGCTTTGCATGTTCAATGCTTATTGAGGGGCAGAGTTTTGTTTTTTGGCATTGCGAGGCATGCTTGTGTGCAGTTTTTCTCTGCTCTGCTGCTTATTATAAAAGAATATAATTACTGTGTAAAGAAACTGGAAATGCTTTTTATTTATATCAAAATTATATAATGAAAATATTAAACTCACTATAATTCTGTTAAATATAATTAAGTTCTATGCATTAGTCTTTCAAAAGCAAGTCTTAAATGGATATGAAATGACACTGAATGGCTTACTATCTCTCATAAATTATCTGTTTTTAAGAAAATGTTCACTGTTCTTAAGCATTCATTTCATGTTACATTTTATTAAAAATTGTCTAAACATGTATGAAAATAGGTGTCAAATGAATTATTAACGGAAGCATGAGTATAATACACACATGATTTAATTTTAAAAGGGATATTTTAAATGAACGTGACAATATCTTGGTCATTAGGGTGAATTAAGTATCAAGTTTTTAATCAAGATATGACAGGCATTTTATGAAGATATGGCCTTAATATTATTTGTCAGAGATTTTTATCGGTGTCAGAAACATTGGCACCAGAAACATGGGGAAATGAATCCAGCATTGTTCACTGAGGCATGGGTATTCTCTTCCACTTGGTGCCCCAATTAATCTCAATTTGTGGAATATGAGTTATCAAAACAGCTGAAATCTGTAAAGATATTAACAGAAGTACCTGTTAAGGTCGCCTATTATTACCTGGAAAGGATTTTGGAGTGGGAAATTTGGAAAAGATAGGTTGTTTAGGTTAACCGAGTTATTTTCGTATATATGTACCCAATTCTAGGTGTTTTGTAGTACATTTACCATATGTTTTATTTAAGGTTAATGTGTTTAAGAAAGGCATTTATAACACTGATGTAACATGCTATTTGTTTCTCAACTGTTAGGCATGCACAGGTGTTAAAAATGTAGACATTAGATTTTTAATTTTTTTTATATATTTTGCTAATTTTAGGAGAAGTTTAGCAGAGAAAGTAAAACTCTTCTCTAGCCTAAAAGAACAAGAGAAGGTGCCCCCCAAAGCTGACCCCCCAGTCATCAGGCGGAGGAACCGTAAACAGCTGACCTCAAGATTTAATACTCAGGTATTTGTTATTCAGTGATTACATCCTTTAAAATATGAATTTATTTGAGGGAATAAGAAGTTATTTTACCCTACATATCAAATTTGAAGGGGAGGGGGGATACAGGAATGCTGATTATATATAGGAATCTTGTCCAGGCAAATGGAGAATCATTGGATTGAAGCTCATATTTGGCGCAAAAAAATGTCTATGACTCCAAGAATATGTTTTAACCCTGGTCAAAGCTCATAGTAGCAAGTTCAAGTTCACTGATATAAAAAAATATGAAACGTATGACAGCTGGTCTATGATTTTTTATAATCAAGGGTGTCCATTGTCCATAATTTACTAAAAGATTCCTTACGACAAAGAATTTCATTTTTTTTGTCTTTCTGTCTTTCTGGAAAGTTCAAGGTTACGTTTACAAAATATAAATGGGCCTTTATTTAAAAAAGGATGTTAATATGTGAGCTCGCTCACTGTGAGCACCTGTTGTTAAAACATAATACAAATTGCAACATGCTAATTAGAAAGGATATACATGTAGAGTGGGGATTAGAAAAACTTGAGACATATTTAATTTGAATGGTCTGTATATTAAATTTTTCATTTATCTGTAATGTTCGACCATACATCTTTTTTACGTCAGAAACAGCTATTAACAATGATTTGTAGGAAACAAGGGCATTCACATTTTTAGGTCCATCTTAGGTCACCTTACATTTGTAATATTATCTGTAAGTATTTGTGTGTTGACATAAGGTCTTCTTTTGCCCTGACCATAACGTGACCTAGTTCAGTCAGTCTATATAAATTACATATTTCTCATGACAGGATGTAGGATATGGAAAGGTAATTGGATGTAACAAATCATAATATTTACCTTGATATTAATATATATTTCCTTATTCTGTATTTTGACTCTTTACAAACTGGGCATATGACTGAGGTTTGTTTCTTTGAGCAATATTTATATATTTTGATAATTATAGGTGTCTATAAAAATTAAACTTTCTAGACATGTACCTGGGGTATATATAGATTCATCTTTATTGTACCACTGGGCAACAAGAAATATTTTAGAAAGCTGCTGTGGTCAGTGTGTAGCAATATATATTTATCCTCTGATTATCAGTGTTGACTTTTGACCTTCTGGAGTTCACTGTACACATATTGGGAAATTTGCTGTCTCTCATACTTTATGGTGATCCATTTTTTACCAGATTAGAATTTTCCATTAAATTTATCACCAGATTACCTGTGGTCCACTTAATGGAGTTTTTGTCAGTCATTTGTGAAAGGATTTTTTGACCTGAAGATATGAATTCTGCAAATTTTTAGCTTATTAATGGGACTGGACTGTGTTTTTGTTCGATATAGCCCGTGACCATTGAAGAAGTGGAGAAGGCAGCCCAGTACCGAATCTCTCCCCTGGCCATGAGTATGGTCAAACCGCCAGACCCAGAAATCATGCAAGGACTCTCTGTGGCAGCCCAGAGGGAGCTGATGGCTCAACATGCCGAGAAAATCATGTCTCAGCCTAGCTCAAGACAAGGCTCGAGTATGGACCTGTCCGATAAATCTCAGTCGTCATCAGATCTCAGCAAACAAAGCTCAGACAAAGGTGAGTCTCGGATAAACCTAACGATAAGTCACTGTGCCAACTCATTCATAATTTACTTTATCATGGTTTATTGTAGAAATATCCTTACCTTGTTTCTCTCAGAGAATATGTTTACTCGCCTGTTTTTAAGATAGTCCAGTAGTCATAGCACTTGAATGAAGTGATAAAAAACACACTCCTCCCAAATCAGGAAGAATAAGTGTGTTTGTTTTACTTTAGAGTAGGACATTATTAGAAATGAGAGAGATTATGAAAACATTACTCTAAAAAATTGTCATTAAAACTTCCTTAAGAATTTCACAAGATCAATTGCTGTTAATTTGCATACTTTGTAGAAGGACCAATCAGCAGTAAGACTGCTGAGAAACAATTGAGTAAGAGCATGTCAAAGTCAGAAGGGGATGTGAAAGGCATTCTTCGGGGTGATAGTACTAAAGGAGCGGAGGAACCTCGCAGCATTCTGAAACACCATGTGGAAACCCATGAGGAACTCAAAAGAATCATGCTGGAGAGAGAAGAACACAGGAGTATACTGAAATCCAGCAACCACAGCCTAGCTACAGAACAGAAGGGGATTCTGAAGACATCAGGAGGAAAAGAGGAGGAATCGGTGGAGGAAAAGGCAGGTGTTCAGGAGGAAATAGTGAAAGGTGTGCTGAAGTCCTCAGGAATCGAGGAGCTGGGAGGTGACTCGGAACCTAAAGGTATTCTGAAGAAGGAGAGTAGTTTTGAGGTGAAAAAATCTGAACCTGAGAAAGGTGTGTTAAAAGACAGCACCTTTGAGGTGCATCAAGAGGAACCTGAGAAAGGTGTTCTAAAAGAAAGCAGTTTTGAGGTTCCCAAATCTGAACCCGAGAAAGGAGTGCTTAAAACAATTGGACAAAAGGAGGAAGCAAATGTTCATGGAATTTTGAAGAAAGACAAAGAGGAGGACATTGTGTCACCGCGTGTGGAGGAAGTGAAAGTATCAGATAGAAAGTCTCCATCTCCGGAACGAAAGGCTGCAGGAGGATGTGCCGCATCCATACGGAGGAGGAAGGACCGCAAACAGCAGGAAAGGTGAGTTTTTATGAAGGGTCAACTTCAGCAAGAAATGGCTGATACTTACCCTTTAGTAATTTGATATGCATTCTGTCAGTATTTTCCCATCAGATCTGACCACAGTATTTAGGATAGGTTAAGCATTGTTCTGAATTGATGTCATGTTACTATGTTGGGAGAGTAAACCATCATTTAATAAATTTATTTTCTCACATCTCTATTAAAGTAGATTGAGGTACAATACTATTGCATTTCAGATTTGCACTGCAGATAATTTAATGAATATTAGGCCTTGAAATTTTCTCAGTGATGAACACAAAAGTTTTGGACTGATAACAATATTGTTTTCATGCAGTATGCACTAATTGTGGAAAAAATAACCATATCCTGTAACACCAAATATTTTAATCATAGCCTATAACATTAATTACCAGTATTTATAGCTGCCATTGCTACAAATATATACCAATCAAAGCTCAGTAACCTTGTAAATGTAGCCAGATTATGTAAATATGACTGTTACATAGTGACTGATAAAACATTGATGGATAGGGAGATGGAAACTAAATGTATGCACTTTAGCTGGAAAATTGTCACTGAATGACCCTAGCATGTGTGGGCCACACTTTAGTGAGATACCATTCTATGTAAAAGTGACGTAGGCTTTATAGATATTTGTGTTTAATTAGGCTTGTGAATTCACACCAACTCGTAAGTTGAAAGATATCTTTTCATAGGACCTAAGGCTAAGCTATCTACACCATCTAATGTCAACAAAAAACCCCATGGACGGCCTCCTAATACATAACACACTATGTTTAGACTGATAGTCATATTGAGCTGCAATCAAGTTTATTAGTTTACTTAGGACTAGATGAAAGTTATAAACTGCTAAAGCACAAAGGACAGCTGGACTATTATTGGGCTATAAGGAATATGTTTGTTCCCTCAGGAAAGGGAGATTTTACGCTCATTTAAGGACAACAGGAAATAGATGACACTTGAATGATACCCGGTTATTATATTGTTATTTTACGCCTTGGTCAGCGTGTGTTAAAATTTTAGAAAGACGTGTGTGAAAGTTAACGACATCGTGATGAGAGGAAATGTCAGATTATTACTTTTAATTAAGTATTTAATGTAAGGAAAATTATTAGATGTTGGAAATAAAGGGCTCGTGATCCATGTGTTCAAATTGGTATAGACAGTTAATGCATCATGAATTGATTGAAAGCGGGAAGTGCAGTGATATTTTATGAAGGAACTTTTGTTTCCTGTATTTAAGAGGCAAAATGTTGGCACATTTATTTTGAGTCTCTTCTTTGTGCAATGTAAGCTGGATTGATCAGGCTTTAGGGCTAGAGTGTGCACTTCACGTCGGATGTAAAGGTTTGCCGGCCACACGAAGGCTGCAGCGTAGGATTCGGAAGTCTGTGGTCGCGTTATTTGTAACCAGTTCACTATCAAGGATCAGTAAACAAAATCTGTGAGAAAAATTAATGTGATTAAGACCAAGTTTTCTCTCATGTGACAATTTTTTTAGTCATGCATTGATTAGTACAAATACGGATATTTTCTGAGTGTCAGAACAAAAGCTTTGTGAACATGCCTAAATTTGGACAGGATATGATTGCAAATCTTATTTTGAAATTCGAATCAAAATCAAATAAAGCAAAATCTGGAAAATTGGAATTAAAACCTCAAACTTCACCCAAAAGGTTTGTGTTTTTATTTAGGTTTATTGATATTGCATGGTATAGGTACCCTAACAGTATATTTTACATAGGAGAGGAATTTTAATTGTTATATTTTCATTATGAAGCATTGGACTCTGTACCATAGGATTTGAACTCTGCTATCACATATTGTGAATTGTGTTTCAAATTGTTTGATTTGGTGTAGTACTGAGGGTAGCCATGCATGTAAGCATCATTGACTAGAAAAATTTCTTTTTTAAAACAAGGAACTAAAGTAAAGTTCTTTTAAAAATAGCAAAAAAATCATGTAGAGGATTAATACATGTAATAGGAACACTGCATACATCTGCAGAAAAAATGGCATTCAGCTAATTAAGGGATATTTACATGACTCATATAAACACTATTTATGACCTTATAAAGTTGAAAAATATGCCATAAGCATTCAAGTAAATATGGACTTAATACTGCCAGTTAGTTATCTCGTCAGGGGTTGCCTATACCAAGAGGCTTTTTATTAAAATGCATTCATAAAGACCTATGGCTTTTCTATTGTTTGTATTCTGTATGTATACATCTATTATTCTGCAGATTCCTTACCCAGCCAAATGACAAAACTTCACCAGAGAAATCCCCCGAGGGTTCCCCCAAACTGCGTTATGGGGCCACCCGACACAAGACCCAGCCCATCACCCCGGAGGAGAAGCGGGAGGCTGAGGAGGGCCAATCAGATGTCAAAGTCTCGGTCAAGGACAGGTAACTCTTGTTTGACTCACACCTTACACAGGAAAGATGGTGAATCAAGCCATTCTAGATGTTAGATGTACAGGAAGTCACATAGTTTCAAATAACAGGTGCTTGATTAAAACTTAAGTGCTGTAAAGCACTGATCGCTATGTGTAGATTAGGATAATATGTTGTTACATATTTCTAAATCTCTATATGATAGTCAAATCTCGAAAATAAAGCATCATTAAATTCAGTTTTAAAAAATCATTCTAATTTTTGCAAACAATATTTTTGTAAGAGTGAGAAGTTTACCAATGTATGCTTATTTTCCATGTGTTTCGCTGGAGTTTTTTGATGAATTAATTCTCACAGTTGTTTTGGTTATAAAGGCAATCTTTGTAAGAATGAAAAACAATCCCTAAAATCATAAAAATGGGCAAATAATTAACCTTTTTGCTCTGTCTGCCTGTAGATTGAGTCAGTTGAAGAAGAGTGGGGAGGAGGATTGGAAGAAGAGGGTGTCTAAGCCCCTGGATACGAAGAACGGGGAGGTGGAGGTCAAACTACGGGAGAAGAAGGGACTGGACATGCCCCGCCCCAACAGTATCGCTGACCGGCTTAACCTGCTGGAGACCTCTCAGGTGGGCTGGAAGGGCAGGGTGGAGGAGAAGGATGCTTCAAGGTTCACAGTGGCCCATAAACTGGCAGGTAAGTCTGAGGGTGGTGTAGGTCAGGTTCACAGTGGCCCATAAACTGGCGGGTAAGTCTGAGAGTGGTTAAGGTTAGTTTCACAGTGACCCATAAACTGGCGGGTAAGTCTGAGAGTGGTTAAGGTTAGGTTCACAGTGACCCATAAACTGGCGGGTAAGTCTGAGGGTGGTGTAGGTCAGGTTCATAGTGACCCATAAACTGGCGGGTAAGTCTGAGGGTGGTGTAGGTCAGGTTCACAGTGACCCATAAACTGGCAGGTAAGTCTGAGGGTGGTGTAGGTCAGGTTCACCATGGCCCATAAACTGGCAGGTAAGTCTGAGGGTGGTGTAGGTCAGGTTCACCGTGGCCCATGAACTGGCAGGTAAGTCTGAGGGGGTGTAGGTCAGGTTCACAGTGACCCATAAACTGGCAGGTAAGTCTGAGGGGGGTGTAGGTCAGGTTCCACCGTGGCCCATGAACTTTTTTAAGCAGGTAAAAAACTGTAAAATGGGCAAAGCTGTATTAAGTCAGGTTCACAGTGAAAACAAATTCCATAAACTGGCAGGTAAGTCTGAGGGGGGTGTAGGTCAGGTTCACCGTGGCCCATAAACTGGCAGGTAAGTCTGAGGGGGGTGTAGGTTTCCTGGATAAAAACTGATAGGGTTATTGATTAGGCTATAGGTCTTCTAGGATTAGACTCCTTTTACCAAGAACAATGCTGAAATAAAAGTCTGTAATAATGAGGTAATCACTAAAATGCAGTTTTTGATATTTATTTAATCAAACAAAACATCAAACACGTGTGAAGCTTGTAACTAGTTCAGAAAATAACCAATATGTTCCCTAATAGGCTCTGTTATAAAAATTCTCACTATTGGTGTTTCCTTTATGTTCAAATATGAAAGAGATGGCAGCTTTTGATCATTTGCAGATCATTGTGAATTGTTATTCAAAATTGTGTAATTCTCTCAATTTGAAGTACTTTATTGCCATTAATTTTTGAATAAAAGAGAAATGCTTATAGCAGTTTTAACTTACATGTAAAATGGAACCTCCAATTTATGGTCTTTAACCAAACAGCATATAGCATGTCTTATGTACAGATGATGTAAATTTTATGAGGAGGCTTGGCTCTTCAAATACATTATTTCCATTAGAATTAAGACTTTATATTAGAGTTAGATAATTGTATGTTGATCTGATTTCTTTTGTACAGGTCAGGTGGAGGAAAGCCCGCTGATGAAGAAGTTGAGAGAGAAGACCAAGAGAGGTACAGAACTGTGTGTTAATTACTATAATGTCTTTCTTTTTAATTGATTTGATGCTAATCGGACACTATATAAGCCAGATACAGTGTGCTGTGAGGACTAATTATATATGTGTGCTGTGGACAACGTCACAGCTTTAAATATAATGAGTATAATCAACAGTCAAAAGGCAGATAACTCAACAAAAGATAGGAAATTCTGTTTCAGTCAAATTCATTACTCAATAACACTTAAGATACAAAAAAGGAGCATCTACAATATAGGACATTTTATTGCAAAGAGAATTTTTAAATATAAGACCTGAAGTAAAATTTTTAGAACAAAAGCATGGCAGATGAGTAGATAGTAGATGTTATGTTATTTTAAAAGCAACAGTAGAAAATTGGTTTGAATGCCAGGGGCTAAGGGTTTATTATATATTGACATATAAAAGGGTTTTTAAAGTATGATGTGCTTGCTTTAATTATATAATCTGCTAGTCACTGTTGTAAGACTTCCAATATTTCAAGGCATTTCATCAGAATAAAAAAAAAACAAATTCTTATAAGTAATTAAAAAAAATTTTGAATTTTGCATGTAAAACACAATGTTTGATTTGAATTCTATGTGCAAAAACAATCCTGAGTTTCTAGAACCAGAAAAAAGTCTTCCTTTATAAATTATTGAAATGCTTTGAATGCCTGGTAGTTGGTTTCATATCATTAATGTGTATCAGTCGTGGCTTTTTGTGGACATCACCTAACACACGGGGCACTATGCATTCATTTTTACAGACTCGGAATCCGAATCTGGGTCACCTGTTACGTTGTCACCTTCCACCCCCACGCGAGACTTGCCAAAAATCCCCCTCCCAAAGACCATCATCTCAGGTAAGACAAACACGATGTAACTCAAAATTATGGAGGCTCACAAGATCCAAATACAACAAGGTAACAAAGAGCAAATAAGGTTCTTTCTAACCCCTGTGTACATAAAAAAATGTTACTTTTAAATTATTAATTTAATTCAAAATTGAAACAGTTAAATTTTGTAACCCAAAACATGTATCCTATTAAGTAATCATTTTATATTTCATCATAAAGCAATAATCATTGCAATATTTATAACTGTGGGCTGGAATATAGAAATTATAATCAGTGGTTATATGTTGTGTATATATTGTCACTAAAATTGCACTAACTGCTTTTATGGTGGTGATTAAAATTTTTGCAACATATATTTTTTTTAAATCCATGTATATATTCTAAATAACAAATCTTATGTTTGTATTCAAACACTGTACGTGTATTTATTAGATTTGATTTGTTTTCTTTTTTTCTCTATATATATTTTTTTCTGTTTTTATTAGTCAAATCATAGTAGCAAATTATTGTGCGTTTCTATCATTACATACATCATAAGGGATATTCATCAACTAATGATGTTTGAACTCATTTCTATAAAAGTTAACTTTTAATCTTATATCAGGACCTCCAGTTGAGGATGAAACTGAGACCAAACCTAAGGGGGTCACAGTCGGTGTAACCATGGAGACGGAGGAGGTCAAGGAGCCTGTCAAGGTCACAGTTCCCTCCATGGATGACGACCAACTGAAATCCTTCTTCAGACAATCATCAGAAGTGAGCGAGACCCAGGAGAAGATTGATGTCTCTGTGGAAGACTTTAACGAGCTTTTCATCATCGCTAACGACATGTAGGTCCTAATTAGATGCTTATGCCATGTAGGTCCTTATTAGATATGAGAAAAATTATTTAAAGGTATTATGTGAGGATTTGATGGAAAAGCTTATAACTTTTAAAAGAGGGAGTAATAAATCTCATATAAAGTATACATTTATTCAAAATATCTAGCATTTTTTACTGTTTCTAAAACTTTGAGGTTAAAACTTATGCTGTCAGTTATCTGTATAAGAGAAATTTTATGCAAATGTATATCTAAAAGATCTAAAAGAAAAGTAATTGCTAATTTGTATAAAATTTTGCTAGGCTGCCATCCATGAGGAAGATCCGTCCCAAGCGTAAACACACAGCCTCAGTACGGAATCCACTGAAGACGACGTCAGTAGAGATCAAGACAGAGTACGAAGAGGTCAAGATGGGATACGCTGAATTAGAGATCAGACGCAAGCAGAAAGAGAAAAGTAAGGAGTTGTTCATTGTATTGTGTTATCAAAAATCTTTTTTTAAGCATTTTCTTTCATGATAATCATTAATTCTTCATAAGCTGTGAATGTTATTTCTAAAAACCTTAATCTTACAAAACAAATCTGCAGAAGTTTGCTTGCCATGGATTATTTCACACTTTTGTAAGACATTAATAGCTCAAACTGTGTCTCTTTAATTGTGATGAAATGTTTTGACATTTTTGTTGAAATCTAAATATCTTATCAACTTTTAGTTGCTGACAAAGCTGGTTTTGCGGAGGCAGCCCTGGCTGGCTTAGCTAGCAAAGAAAACTTTGCCAGTGTGGCTCTTCGTAAAACTGGTGAGTCTGCTGGCTCCAGTATGCCCTCTCGCCTTGACCCCTACAAAGACCTGATGCTTATCCATGTCAAAGGTCGCCGCAGACTTCAGGTCCGCTTAGTGGAGCCCTGCGCTAAATCCATCAACAGTGGGGATTGTTATATACTGGTCACTCCCGACAAAGTCATCAACTGGGTGGGGGAATTCTCAAATGTCATCGAAAAGGCGAAGGTGAGCAATATAAAAAAGACATTTAAAATTGCAAAAGTTTCTGGTATCAATAAGCAGGTTTATAGTAAACCTCCAGAAACCTAATCCATTAGAAGTTTCTTAGAAAATGATTTATTAATTTGTTCGTTTTCTATAGGCTGCAGATATTGCCACCTTCATCGTTCAGAAGAAGGACTTGGGAACTCGAGCCCCTCTAGTGGAGAATGTGGAGGAGAAGAGACAGCACCTGGGGACCGGCAAAAAATTCTGGTCCGCCCTCGGGGGCCTCAAAACCATCTCATGTAAGAGGCTAAATCTAGCAGTGATTTTCTCCTTTGTTACTTTCCTTGATGTGTATAATTTCTTATGAATTTTTTTAGCTATATGTGCCAGTGCAGTTTAATACTGTGTTTTCCATTTTTCTAGCTGCTGGACCTCCTGAGGAGGATGAGCTATATGAGAATCATATCATGGCCTCCAACATGGTGTACAAACTGGAGAACAACTCACTGGTCCCCTACCAGGAATACTGGGGCTGCCAGCCAAAACATGAAATGCTCAAGAAAGATCAGGTAAATTGGCTTAAATTTGTCCACAATTTCATAGCTAGGGTTTCTGTTATGTGTGAAACTTTAAATATTGCCATTATTTTTATCATTTGGAGAGATATGTGAATAATTTTTCTTTTTTTTTTTGAATACCAGTTTTATAGGCAAAAATGTCCACAGCAACTGAGCAATCTCTGGCAGTGTATGCTTTTATTAAACTTTTTGCAGATGATCAGCTCTTCATGTTGTCATTTCTAATACAGGTGCTGGTCTTTGATTTTGGCACTGAACTCTACGTGTGGCAAGGGAAAGCCGTGAAACCTGAGAGACGTAAAATGGGTGTCAAACTGGCTCGACAGTTGTATGAGAAAGGTTATGACTACAGTGCATGTGACATAAACCCTATGTCCCCATTGTCCAGTGAGTTGTCCTCCTTGCTTTTGTTTAAGTACTGTCAGGCCTTTGATTGCCTGTATGTTCAATTATTGTTAAATATGTCTATTAACATTCAATGAAGCTACTAGAATTCGATGTTGTGAATTAAATTTCAGGCTCTATATTGTTAGATAAATGGTATTTGGTGATGTGTTGACTGAAGCCAGATTTGTTACACATACATTTACTAACAAAATTGCATCCATTTTTTTTTGTTTTTGCCCAAGAAAAGACATATTTAAAGACACATCAGTTTTACCAATTTTATATGTTGTTCCTATATTGGAATGAGGCCTCCACACAAATTACTTGCTTTCTATGTTCACAAAAAAAGCATCCAAAGAGAACTCGGCCCTTCTCATTTTGTGTAGATACCTGCTGGAAATAAAAGGGAAGCAAAGAATAAAAATATTCATGGAAATATTTGTTTTTTTAACAGCTGAGGAAATGGGTGGCTTACCATCAGCTGCCAAAGAGAGGCCATCCTGGGGACTGTTTGGTAAAGTCAATCAGAATATGGAGACCATCTTGTTTAGAGAGAAGTTTGCTGATTGGCCAGATACTTCACGACTCATCAAGGTCAAGAGTCTGGATACAGGAAGCAAGGTATTCAGCAATGTTCCAATTATATCAGACATTTTTTATTGCTTAACAATCAAAATTGAAACGTCAGAAATAATATTATGGTAAGGGTTTTGTGAATGCTTTGACACCAGTACTGATTCGGGATGTTATTTTTTCAGACTGATCTGGCAGAACTAAAGCCATATGATGCCAAGTTAATGATTCCCGTCAACAAAGACCCTGTATCTCTAGTCTTGGAAGGCTCCAATGTAGGCAGAGGAAATACATGGTAAAATTGAAAGCGGATTCTTCAATTTTTTAAAAATTATTTTTAAATTGATTGGAGATTTTGATTTCAAATTATTGTTACGGTAAACACTTGAGTAATTCTAGAAAAAAAATCTAACTAGTCTAATTAAGAGGAATTTATTTACAAAAGGTGTTGGTACTATACTTGTACATGTTGATTACACATAAATATATTCATTTTTCAGGGCTGAGGACATGGATGGGTTTATAAGAGAACAGAACATTGTGACACTAGGGGTCACTGTGTGGCACGTCCTGGAGTATGAACACTATAAGATGCCGGAGCCCAGCTTTGGTCAGTTCCACGACGGAGATACGTACGTGGTCAGATGGCAGTACATGATCACAAACAAAGGTAGGTCATCAGTGTCAAAAAAATGAACAACAGAATCATTCTCACATGAGAAAATATGATATATGGCTCTTCTGATACATAAATCGATCATGTTAACATTTTGTGGATTTTTTTCTCTTAGAGACAATCCATTGCACCTTAATGCAGGACATATCTTTTCTTTACATTTCTCATAAATATTAAAGATACTCTCTGTTATTGATGTACAGAACATTATATTGGATTTTGATATACATACAGGTATACTTGTACTTTTGCAGGAACAAACTTAAAGGGCACACAGTCTCGTAGGTCTCTGGTAGGTCGGGAGAGGTGTGCTTATTTCTTCTGGCAAGGAAAGAACTCCACCATCAACGAAAAGGGGGCTTCGGCTTTAATGACAGTGGAACTGGACGAAGAAAGGGGCCCTCAGGTAAAAATTCCTGTCTGGAGATTTTATTAATTTTGAAAACAAACACAAAGACACAACACACTTCCACTATCTCTGCATTCACTATGTAAATGCAGCATCAACTCTGTATTTTATGTGTTCATGAATGTGTATATTTTTGCCTTTTTTAGGTACGAGTGGCAGAAGGGAAAGAGATGCCATGTTTTCTTAATCTTTTCCAAGGGCGGATGATCACTCATATAGGAAAACGTGAAGATGAGATGACCAACACCCAGGGATCATGGCGATGTTACTGTGTCCGCGGAGAATATGAGAATGAACTCTGTCTGATTGAGATACCTATGGGGGCTAACAGACTTCGCAGTCAAGCCTCCTTCATTGTTCTAAACATCAGGTCAGGTCTCCTGTTTGTGTGGCACGGCTGTAAGTCGCCACCTCATTGCCGGAAAATGGCCACTACAGCGGCAGAAAGGTTAAAAGAAAAGTAAGTTTTACATTGAATATTTTAAAAATCAGCACCTTGAATGGTGCCAGATAGTCATGGTTGTATTGACTTTTATTGCTTAGATTATAGTGATTAACTTGTTTACCCTGCAGGTGCCCTCTGGAGGTAGGAGTAAAGGAGGAGTGCTATATATTGATCACGGAGATGGAGGAGGGGTCAGAGAAACCCGAGTTCTGGTCAGCCCTGGGGGTCAAGCCCAACACAAGGTCTCTCTACTGCTGTCTTCTCAATGGTATGTATATAGAAAAGTAATTTTTCCAAGCTTTGAAATTTGAATTTACATTTTAGAAACTAAGATCCAGAGTAAAGAAGTGTTTATTATTTATTCATCATTGTTTCTATTTGATTTTCACAGATCCAACGTCTTATGATTACACTCTGCGAGTTTTCCACATGACGAGTGCCTTTGAAATTCTAATATGTTCACACATTTATCATTGTTTCAATTTTTTCTTTAAAAGCATTACATACTAACAGATATGATCTGGTTGCAAGCAACATCTTACGATTACACATCTAGCCAAAAAAAAATGATAAAAAAATTCGTTTTCCACATGACAAACGTGCCCATTACATCATTGGGAAGTTTTTTTAAATGCAAATATCGTCTATTTCATGAAATATTAAGTATTCCATCTACCAATATCAAAGAAAAATATTGAAAAACAGAAAAAGTTGAAAAATTGGACTTTTTTTCCTGTTGTACTCCGAAATGTCGCGACCTGGATAGTATTGATCACTATGCATAATCTCTGAAAGTTTCACCTTGATATCTTTTACCGTTCTTGAGATTAATAATAGCCTGAAAAATATTCTGGTTTTAAAATCATTGAAAATTCATATTCACATACTAAATGGCACCAGATTTAAATTTAAATTTTTCAATATGTCAGATTTGAGTTTCCGAGATTTTTATTTGTCCACTGTTATAACAGGTCTGTTTTTGGTGGATGATGACAATATTATGTACCTGTGGCACGGCTGGTGGCCCGAGGCCGACGCTGAGGAGGAAAATATACATACAGGCTCGGCTAGGTCTCGCTTCAGTGTCGACCGGAAATGTGCAATAGAAACCGTCATCCATTACTGTCAAGGTAAAAATAATCCCATTTAAATTGGGAAAAAGTTGATAGATCAATCATGAAGTTCAGTTCTGAGAATTGATAAACATGTTGAACAAATTATAGAGAAACACCAAACAACAGCTGAATTCGTTTTTAAAATGAATTGAATTTGAATGAAATTTAACATCTTAGCATTTGTTTTTATAGAAAAGAATCCCAGGAAACCCCCTAAAGCTGTAGCAGTGTATGCTGGTCTGGAACCTCTGGAGTTTACCAATCTGTTCCCGTACTGGGATGTAGACGAGACGGCCAAATCTCTCAATCTCAGGGTAGGTCACTCAAGACATTTAATCTTAGCTAAATGTGCTAGAAACATGTTAGTAACATCCATGTACTGTCAAGTTAAAAATAATCCATTTAAATTGGAAAATGGCTCAGTCCCTTAGATCATAGTACATAAAATTTGTCAGTTCTGAGAATTGATAATTTTAGTCCCATGCACTTCTTTAACAAATTCATTTTAAAAAATTCTGTGTAAACTGCGGCCATAGCTGAATTAACGGTAATTATTCCCTCTAACAAAAGCATTAACACCTTTTGTGGGGGATGTCATAATCTGTGTTTACATTAGCATGATTATTAGTGCCATGAGACGAACTCGGTGAAATGCGGCGGTGACATGAATTAAATTACATTTAAAAAAAACATTCCTCCTTTTACCACATTATAACATAAACACAAAAATATATGTACGCGCGATTTACAAATCAAAATATAAATGTAGCAGTGTTTTCATGGCGCCATAACACTGTTGAGGAAGACGTAATTTTTTACATAAAATTAAAAGTTCTGTTAGCACATCGTAAATAATTGTGCATGTTAATACATTGAATGAGGTCTTTGACCGAAACCTCTCTTGATACATAGTAGGCCTATATTATGCATGCCTGTATATTTTTATTGAGGTAACATTTCACCCGACTTTCAAACTTCTTGAACAAATAAGAAAATACAGTAAGTCATGTGAGACTATCTTATAATTTCTACACTCCAAAATAGTTATTGATTTCATAATTTAATTTTATTTATTATATGTATATGATGTACTTGTAAATAAACAACGAAAATTTTCGAATTTTATATTTTCCTGCATTTTTCATGACTCCGGATTCTGTACTTTTATGGCCGGATTGGACAAATTATACTGTACATAACTATTTATCTGTCACATACATTACTGCTAAATATCTTTCAGTAAATCAGCACTTGTACATGCATAAAGCTCTTCACTTTTGATATTTATTTTTATCACTAAAAGGAACAAGCATACAAATAAGTATAAAGAAAATTTTTGTGGACTACAGTTAAACTGTTCAATTGATTTCAACTGTTCTTGCTCCACAGGAAGGTAAACAGGAAGGGGAGATGACTCCTTTGGAAGAAATTCTGGAGAAAGTGACGAAGACTCGATACTCATACGAAGAACTGATGGAAGATGAACTTCCTGATGGCGTGGACCCCAAACGCCTGGAGTCTTACCTCGATGACGAGGAGTTTGAGGTAACTGTCATCGATATTTGCTTAGAAATATCTTTTTTATTCTTTCATATTGGAAAAATAATTTCAAGGAATGTCTGATGAATGGAATTCTTTTTTTTTAATGCAGGAAATAATGGAAATCGATCGAGAAGAATTCTACAAGCTCCCACAATGGAAACAAGACAAAATTAAACAACAAGTCGGACTGTTTTAAAAACTGTAATTACCAGTGGCTGAAAGCAATCTGGAAAACAAACAATTCCTCTACTTAACCAAGAAATCCATTTTTGTAGTTGTACTGGCAGTTACACTTTGCAGGATTTATTCAGTCTAGTAAATTTCATGGAATTTTTTTAATCTGTAAGCTTCGATCTGTTCCATAAAAATTTTGAACAAAACCACTGGCAAGTAAAGAATGTTACTTAAGCAAATATTGAAAATTTTACTGAAAAAGTGACACTGTTCAAGAGATGCATGCATCTAATGGTAATTTTTTCCTCATTAAATGTAGTTTCGATTTTATCTTCATACATATATATCAATACTTGTAGCTGTTATGGGGTGAACAGCAGAAAACATTTGTAAAATCACACTCGGCATTCTTTTTTGACTCAAAATTTCATGTGCTCAGCAACTACATAATTCATTGCCCTATTATATAATTTGCAATAAATAAGAAAAATGTCTTTCATGTATGTTAGTGTACCAAAGATGTACAGAATTTCCTCTGTTCCAGCCGGGCTGGGAATATTGGTGCTTTATTGTGTGTGAGGTCGTAGATTTTGGATGTGCATCCATTATGCTTGTTGTTTCAATTGCCTATTGATATATGAATTACATCTAGTAAATTCTGAACATTTTAATTTTTTATTGGTTAGTTTTCCTCCTTTCTCATGACTTTGAATTTAAGGAATGATAATGATATTGTTGATATTTTTTATCAGTCCAGCATTTATATTTGATGTAATTTTTTTTCACTGCCCAAACAAGAACATTGAAGCTTATTACTCCTTTGACATTTCTTGCCCTTCTCTGCAAATGTAAGCAATTAAAATTCAAAAGTACAAAAAATGTCTTAAAACATGCAGTCCTCTTGTAGAGATCAAATTATATCAACATTTTAAAGCTACTTAGAAAAGAGAGAAACTAAAGAAATAATTCTTATCCTTAAGTAATTAAGATGAGGACTAACTGAAAAATGTAGTGGAAAAGGTGGTTAGATTTTTATTGTTTGAATTGATGGAATACAATTGTAACTACTTTAACCTGAATATTGTACCTTTTAAGTACATGTATTAGTAACTCCCAAACTACTGGTTCCTTACACCATATTAAACATGCATTTTTTGAAAAATTGTTCAGGTGTGACAGAGTGTTTTTTGAAGAATTTTGTGAGAAAAGGGTCAAGGACAATAAAAGGTCAAGGAGACTCTCTAATGATGAGATTTTTGTACTGATGATAGCAATTCCTAAAGCAACTGTGATCTTACTTTAGTGATAGATATTTTCCCCTTTGCCTGTTTGTATACATGTGTATATTGTTATTGTCTGTATTGTTCTTTTGTATTAAAAAGTGCTTCCATAATAAACTGTTACAAAGATTGCATTGTTTTCTTCCTTACAAAGATTAACATATTGTGGGTGGTTTGTATAACGTAATTGTTCCATGATATTGTATTCAGACACTTGAGACACTGAGTTTATATGGACAACAAGTGTTTAATAGCTGTCATTTACATCACATTAATTTCTAGTCTTACCTCTTATAATCTCTTGCTTTAGGTCTTAAAACAATTGCAGTTATTATTGTATTAACATAAACTAGTCAGAACAAGGTTTAGTATCATCTACTTTAAAGGGTTTTTGTGAGGTATAGGCTCTTTTATCTAATAAGGAATGTACGTATACCATAAGTAATATTTTACGTACTTTCATCCATGTAAACAAGATGTGTTTTGAAACACTGCTGCAAGTAAAACTCCAAGGTCAAAATTGTTGGTTTTAAAGGAAGGCCTTGTCATAAGGTATAATCCTGTGAAATATAAAAGCCCTAGTATAGATACTAGCTGTTCAAAAGTTATGGCCAAGGTATTTTTTTAAAAAGTGGGTCAAACTCTAAGGTCAAGGTCAAAAGTTCAAATATTTATACCTATTGTTGTGATTGGGTCTTGTCACAATGAATACACATGTGAAATATGAAAGCCCTAGCACCAATTGTTCAAAAGTTATAACCAACATTAAAGTTTGGTGGGTTTTTTTTTGTAAGAGTAGGTTAAACTACGGGGTCAAGAGGTCAGACTTGGTGGTACCCAAAGAAAGGTCTTATTGAAAGGCATACGTACACTCAAAAGTCATGGGCAAGATTAACATTTTTGCGGACAAACAGCTAGACAGATAGGTAGACAGACAGACGGACAGGGCAAAAACTATATACCCCCGAAATTATGTTTACGAGGCATACAAAAGTTTTATACCATTTAGCATTAAAAAAAACACATGCTGAAACCTAAAATCAGATAAAAAATAACATTTATTTTGTTATGCTCCCTAACTGCAGAACTGTAGCATTATGGTATTATATATTAGTCTTTGACCATAACCATAGTTATGATATTTAAGGAATCACTGTCTGTTAGTATAGTATGCTGGGGCATCAATTATAGTGGGAAACATGGAATAATTTGTACAGCGGGCGAAGCCTGTTATGCATAAATTATCCCATGTTTCCCACTATCGTTGATGTCCCTGGCATACCATACTAACTAGACAGTGATTCCTTATATTTCCATTACTTTGTGAAACAAAATTGTAGATTTAGACTTTAGAAATGTAGACATAGATTTAAATTACACGAGGACTCTCATGCCAATTTCAATAGTTCTCACCCACTGACATCAAACACAAAGACAGCTGCACGAGATTTATATACATGCATATTTGGCCTCTTCAGCGTCAGGCACAGTGACAAATGCCCACGGGATTTGCATGCATATTAGGCATCCTTAGCTCCTGACCTATCGACCTGTCTAATTTACATTCCGATAGAATTATCAAGAAATCAACTCCGCTTACTTTCAAAAGAGTTATCAAAGAGAAAAAAAAATTAGAAATGGAAATTTAAAACCATAACGCTACAGTTCTGCAGCAATATGCCCTCATTATCAAAGATTCGAGGTATATAGTTTTTGTTCTGTTTGTCTGTCTCCCTGTCTAATTTTCCGAAAAAATGTTATCAACCTTGCCCATTATTTTTGAGCATATGTAAAGCTATGTTTTTCACATTTCACAGATGTAAATTGACCCACTTTTACACAAAATTACTTCACATGTGTATTCAATGTGATAAGACCTTTCAGTGGGTATAAATACTTTTGACCTTTTGACTTTGATCTTAGTGTTTGACCCTTTTAAAAAAATTGAACCTTAGTCATAACGTTTGAACAGTTAGAACTATGTTTTAGATATTAATTTCGCAGGTGTTTTCCTTGTAACAAGACTTTCCATTAGGTATTTACACTTTTGACCTTGACCTTTGGAGTTTGACATGCACCTTTTATGAAATGATCTATTCTAGTGTGATGATAATAAGCGAAAACAAGATGTGTTTGTGAAACACTGATGCCCCAGTACAACATAGTCAATGAAAGGTCTTGCCACAAAGAATACATATATAAAGTATGGAAGCCCTAGCCCTAACCGTTCATAAGTTATGGCCAAGGTTAAAAATTTTAAAAAGTATCTATTGAATGAAAGGTCTTGTCACAAGGATTAAATATGTAAAGTATGAAAGCACTAGCCGTAACCCTTTAAAAGTTATGGTCAAGGTTTGCTTTTTAAAAGTAAGTCAAACTACAAGGTCAAGATCAAAGGTCAAAGTTCGTGGTATCCAATGAAGGGTCTTCTCACAGGAATAACATATGTGAAGTATAAAAGCCCTATCCCTTACCTTTCAAAAGTTATGGCCAAGGATAAAGGTTTTTAACAAGTACAGAAATGTCAAAGGTCAAAAGGTCTAGGTTGTTGGTATACAATGAAAGGTCTATCCACAAAGAATACACATGTGAAGTATAAATGTCCTAGTATCTACTTTTCAAAAGATATGACCAAAGAAAAAGCTTGAAATTTTTGTGTAAAAGTGTATCAAACTCCAAAGTCAAGGTCAAAAGGTCAAATTTGGTGGTACAGAAAGAAAGGTCTTGTCACAAGGAATATATATATGAAATATGAAAGTCATAGCTCCACTAAATCAAAAGTTATGAGCAAGGTTAAAGTTTTTGCGTACAAACAGACAGACGGACGGACATGACAAAACTATATACCCTCATATTTCCATTTCTACTTTTTTTCTCTGTGATAACTCTTTGAAAGTTAGCGGAGTTAATTTCTTGATAATTCTACCGGAATGTAAGTTATGCAGGTCAATAGGTCAGGAGCTAAGGAGGCCTAATATGCTTGCAAATCTCGTGCGCATCTGTCTCTGTGTTGCCGCTAAGGAAGCCAAATATGCATGTAAATCTCGTGCGGCTGCCTTTGACGTCCGCGGGCGAGGACCACTGAAATTGTCATGGCATGTCAATTTAAATATATCTCTACATTTTTAAAATCTAAATCTACAATTCTATTTTACAATGATATGGAAATATAAGGAATCACTGTCTAGTCAGTATAGTATGCCAGGGACATCAACGATAAAAACATGGGATAATTTGTGCAAAACGGGCTTCGCCCGTTATGCAAATCATTCCATATTTCCCACTATCGTTGATGCCCTGGCATATTATACTTACTAGACAGTGATTCCTTAAGAAACTTCGTTTACGGGGGCATAAAATATTACGGGAAGTTGAAAATTTTCAAATAATTCAATTTGGTTGGTCATTTTGAATTCACCAATAAGACCGGTTGGTTATTTTTTGCTAATTGCATTCTAGTTCAGGCATTTTAGAGCAAACAAACAAGATGTGTTTGTGAAACACTATGCGCGCCCGGCGGCAAGAAAGTTCGAAAAAAGTTTTTTTTTAGCATATAGGTCACTGTCAAGGTCACAAGGTCATTGAACTTAGTGTCATTTGAAAGATGCTTAATGAGTGGAATACGCATACTAAATATGAAGTCTCTTCCTTTCATGGTTCAACAGATATAGCGAAGGTTAAAGTTTGCAGAAAAAGCTATTTTTAGTATATAGGTCACAGTCAAGGTCACAAGGTCATTGACCTTGGTGACATTTGAAAGAGCTTTATTATGGTACAAAAATTATGGCAAAGGTTAAAGATTTCAGACAAACAAACAAACAGACAGACAGACAGAACAAAAACAATTTACGCCCCGGATCTATCGATTCGGGCGCAAACAAAATCCATGGATTATTATATAAGCTCAGTCGTTTGGCAGGAGAACAAAAGAACATAAATAATATCGAGTCGAGTCTGGCATTATCAACATTTACATGGTGAACCTGAATTCACTGCATACATTTTCTAATTGCGCGTACTTCTCTCACTATGTTATATAAACGTATTTATCATTGTTGAAAAGTTCATTCCCGTCTAGGACGGGATACAAAATTATTTTAAATAAAAAAGGGTAGCATAAGTGTTTCAACTATTAGCTTTGCCCTGTTCTGTCTGTCGGTCCTGACTAAAGGGAAGAACTCCGAAAGTCCTCTGTTTATTCCATAACAATTATTAGTTTTTTATTCAAAAAATAAAGTAGTTGTAAAAGTTTTGGAATTTATTTTCATACAACATGTCTGTAAAAACAAATAAATATTTTTTTGATATTCTTGTAAGAGTTTTAATTTAACATACTATCAAAGAGTTTTTAAATTTTAATGAGAACAATCGTAAATATATAAATTAAAGGGAAATAACTTACCCGACGCTCTTTACACAAACATTGAGAGGAAGAAAGAGAGGGGGTTGATTATAATCTATTATCAAACTGTTGTTTTCTTGAAATCTAAGCCAATCTAGCCATTCAGATTCTCTGTATCTCCCCCCCCCCCCCCCCGATTTTTGTCTAAATAAATTGACAATTTTTGTTCCAACTTTTCACTGATCATTTTTAAATACATGTAAATGTAACTTGTACTTTACCATCAATTTCTTTCATGCCATGCTCATTGTGTATTTGTTATTCATTAAATATTCCCGAGAATCGGGAATTCTAAAATTATTTATTAGAGCGGGTAGTATTACTCTTTTTAAGACGTAATACTGTTTTAACCCTTGTGTGTCTGTAAATGTCAAATAAGCAATTTTTTGTATATAGTCTTTCAGCTTCATGTTACTACAAATGATTTATAATTTTACAGTAATTGTTTTCGACAATCAAAGACATGTCACAAGTTTTTCATAATATTTTAAAAACAAATTAAAAACAAAATAAATAATTGAAATAAATTGATAATTTTTTTCGCAATACTTTTTTTCTCTGATTTCAAATGTTGGTGTTGAAAATCCAATTGAAGGGAAGAAACTCTAAGGGGGATTTGAAAATCAGTTCACAGATAACAAATACTAACACAATCATTTAACGAAAATATTCCAAATTAACCCAGTTCAAAGAAGCACAAAAACGAAATAGTTCACTTCCTCTTCTATTAATTTTCCAAATCGAAAATGTTGAAAAATATTTTGCTACAATCACCGTAAAATTATTACTAATAAAAGAAAAACAACTCGAAATGCAATCTCGATATACCGTGGTTATTTCCACAAGAATTGGATGTCTTACAAGTCTTATTTGGGTTTTTCCCGTTGTACGGGATCTAAAATTTATTTTTTGCGGGTGGTATTAGTCCTATTTGGAACATAATACTGGAATCACCCATGTCCGTCTGTAAACTAATATTACGGTTAACTTTTAATATATAATTTTCAGCATAATTCTACTGAAAAATGAATATAATTATCAAGTTAATACTAATCCACATTTTAGTATAAATATGAAAAATTATGTATTTTTTAAAGACATAAAAAAAACGGTATAAATAATTGAAATAAACTGATAAAATCAATTGCATTTCTTTTTTCTTTTATTCTATATTTTTGTCGTTGAAATTTTAACTCAAGGGAAGAAACTCTGTGAGACTTTTACCATCGGTCATGAAGTGGTCGGGCCTAGCTTGATTCCAAATCAATCTATCAGTAAATATCGGTCCGCCACTGGTATGTAGTGATAAAGCCATTTTAACGATAACACATTCTATCCAAAATCAGTCCAAAACAAGGAAACACAATCAAAATAGCCCTGATATTATGAAAACCCTGCATGGTGCTTTTCAAAAGTTATGGCCAATGTTAAAGTGTTTTAAAAAGTTTGTGGAACTCTAAGGTCAAGGTAAAAAAATATTTATGTCATTTGAAAGATATTTTCTCAATAGATACACATGTGAAGTATGAAAGACATGGCACCAACTGATCAAAAGTTATGGCCACGTTTAAAGTTTGTTAATATTCAATAAAAGTGGGTCGAACTCCAAGGACAAGAGGTCAAAATTGTGGTACCCGAAGAAAAGTCTTGTCACATGGAATAAACGTGTGAAATATAAGAGCCATAGTACCATGCATTCAAAAGTTATGAACAAGGATATAAAGATTTTGAGGACAAACAGGCAGAAGGACAGGACAAAAACTCCATGTATATATCCCCCGAATCTTCGCTTACGGGGGTCATAAAAATTGATACGGAAAGAATTTAGACAACCCTCCCTCCCCCATGGTAAATTTCGAGTTAGGATTTTTTTCCTTCTTTTTTTATGTGTGTTAATTTTAAAAAAAATATATTTTTTTCTTGCCCACCCCCTTTTTTCAAAAACGATACGTCATGCACTTTAGTTTGCCAGTGTTTTAAAATTGTTTACCACGTATTTAATTCATGCTTTCCGCACATATATATAAATCACTTTTCTATTCTCTTTAGAGAAGTGGTCTTTCGCCTACATGTGGATTTAGGCGAAAGCCTGTTCACTTCTCTAAAGAGAATAATCACTTTCCACGAGGCGACTCTTACACCCAACAACCAGTTTCCACACAGACTGTCCATCATCATTTTCCGTCTCCATCACAATCAATTTTTATCTTTATCATTTATATACCATATGTACTTGAACATTTTAAAGATGATTTTTGATGTACATGTATGTAGTTCCTGCCGTTAATTCCTCAAGAATTTTCGATTTGTTTTAAAGGCCTCTGGAGTGCTGTACAGTCAAATTGTAGATAATAATTGCTCAGTATATTTTTGACATGTGTAAGAGGCGCAAAAAATTACGATTGCTTTCGAGCACTAGCTTGCCTCTTTCATTTTCACATTATAGTATATTTTCTTATTAATTCTGTCATTTTCACGAAACTTAAAATTAATTCATGATCATAAAATGTTACTTTTTTACAATGAGAAGAAGAGAAGCATAATTTAGCAGAGAGAAAATAAATTGTCTACAGTTTTAAGGACAACCCTCGAGTCGTATTTTAAAATTTATGGACGTTTCAACGTAACTTGAACTTGATTGCATTTTCCCCTGGAATTGAAGAGTTCCAGTACTAGAAGGAACTGCAGCACTACATTTTATCGTCTACACATGCAATTGTACACATCTTTTGAAACAAGTTTAGATAAACAAAACACCGAGAATATTTGTTTGATAATTTTTATGTATTTTTCTTTGAATTTTAATACAAAAAAAACTTCATCAATTGATACCTTTTCAAAACGATGGCACTTAAATCTTAAATTTGAATGTCTTAAAAAGTTATTAGTAGGTACGTTACGTTGCGTATGTCCTTAATTAAAGCAAATTTGCAGCTCTCGAGTGAATTAATGACAATCAAAATATTTCCCTATATTTCTAGTTCTACAGAAAAAACTACGAAACTTCGATTGAAAATAATATTATTTACACCTTTTGCGTCTTTTAATGATGAATTCATATTTGAAAGATTTCGTAAATAAAATTTTGGAGCTGCATACCTCCTAAGTTCTTTGTTCTGGCCATGATCTGAGTCTACACATATGCACATCTTACTTCAATCATCCTCTCAATGATTGAGTCCTATTGCGAGAATGCTCTTACATGAGCAGATTCTGTTCACGAGTTACGTACCTTTAATGTTTATCATCATAAAATAAACGCATATTAATCTGTACTTCATTTTCAAAATAAAAGATAAATATCATACAAGATTATATAAATTATACATTTTTATCAAATTTTGAAATAGTTTTATTTTTGAATGATTAACTTCTATAAAAAATAAAGTTAATTTTTCTACTCACAAAATGTTATGACCATTTGTATCGATAAGCCTCCTTGTAACAACACTATGAATTTCAGACGGATAGACAAAGTGATTACTTTTTAATGACAAAGTCAGCGAGGGTTAAACCCGCTAATAGTAATTTTGTAGACCTTCCCTTTTTGGAAGGTTACCCAACAATTAAGGCTAGAACGGAAAGGCAATACAAGAGGTAAATAAAACATAAGAGCAAATGAGTCCACTCCAGTTGAATGCAAAATTCTGTGACTGATGGAACTATATCCTCATTATTTAAACGTGTCTAAAAATACCCAGGTATTACGATTAAAGAGAAATATGTCACTCATTTTCGATTCACATCTGAGATAGATTCTATAAAACATATACATGTATTGTACTTGTTGAGAATTTTTTTAAAATTACATGTGGCCAAAAAAATGACTTTGACACTTAAAAAAAACTAAAACAGAAATGCGCAGCTTTTGTTAAAAAGAAAAATAACTTTATTTTTCTCCAACACATTCTCCTCTACAGGTGTTGTAGTTACGATCTCCGTATTCTTTCTGTTTTTAAATGTGTAATATATAATTTATACTTCAATCATTTCCTCTACACATGTGATAGGAGGAATAAAGATTAATGAAAGAATGCTGAATTGTATTGAAATGGCAGCAGCTTGTAGTTCGATAGACAAAGTAAATTACTTATAAAATGTCACAAAAAAGTCTGCGAAGGTTAATTGCCCGGCTTTAAGTAATTTTGCAGACCTTTCTTTCAGTGGAAGGCGAATGATTATTCAAAAAGGAATAATGTTAAATTTAAGAAATAAAAGAGAAAAAAAATGAATAAATTAATTTTATTTAATCAAGTTCAATTTATTGTGATATCTGTAATCATGGTAATTCGAATCCAAAGTTACTAAGCATATTCATTCTGAGGATGGGCTGCTTAAGAGTTACTTCCCCTAACTTTCAGGTAAAGGACGGTTGTATTAAAATTTTTCAGTACTTTTAAAAAAAATTATTAAAATGTTATAACAAGAAATGAAATTAACTTTTTAAAAAAAGTAATACAAATAATTGCGAAGTTTTCTTTATAAAATAAAATTTAAAATAGCATATATTTATGAAAAAGTTTTATAATAGTTTAAGTTTGTTAGTATAATATGTCAACTCAACCATTAAGCGCTACGGACGGAAAGACGGGCGGGATTAACATATAATAGGACAATGATGTCCCCCGCATTAAGGTAATTTTGGATCCCATGATACATGGGAATGTACGTTGAAAATTATTGGAAAAGACATTGAAATATACACAAGTGTATAGATTGACCACATGGCAATGAGCTTTCTCATGAGGAAAGAAAAAAACCCCAATCTATTAGACATTCCCTTTGCTAAAAGCAATGTACATGTGTTAGATGCAGAAATTAACAAACCTCCTCATTCAAAGAAAATATTGGGAGAACAGACTTACTGGGCCACCCATATTTTAAAAAATTCAATTGCAGAAATATAGCTCTTTAATAAAATATTGACAGTCTGTCTTTATTCATCTATCCCAATATTTCCAGAATAGCAAGCCAAAGCTCTGCAGCTGCCTTAGTGATCTCAAAAGTTGGATTTAAATAAAAATGACTAAAACATTTATAATACTAAAAAAGTGTAAAAAGTAAACACAGATGAGGCAATTTCTTTTTGCAACTGTGCATCTAAAAAAAAAGTTTGGCATACACATTGTACTTTGACAATATATATTTATTTCCTTCATTAAAAGGGAAAACTACAACAGAACACATACATATACATGTATATCCAATGTCAAGTCATACACATAATCTCACAGAGATAAAATATACATTGTACTGAATTCTTACACATGTTGATATAGTACATGTACAAGTAATTTTAATTCTTCTTGACTGTTTCATCTTTGGCATAAATGACAGTCTCCTAAGACATAACTATACCACAAACTGTCAAACTCTGGTGTATCCATTCTTACCAAATGATTTTACTTTTCAAATTCAAAGGTCATCATTTTCACTATGCAATTTTACTCATTGAACTGTAAATCTATATAGTGTTTTTCCATCAAGAAAATTTACAAAATAATTGAGAAAATTATTGTGAGTCAGGTTGGTACAAGTTTTTGAGATTCTGTCCGTATCACATTGATAAGGTCTTGGTTTATCAGGAAAATAAATCGCAGGCAGGAAATCTGAAAGATTAGAAACAAACAGAATTAGCTTCTCTTCTTCAATTATAGCATCTTCACCTTTTTAAAGAAAAAAAAATGAAAAACATTTATTTTTATCTCACAATGGCCTTATTTCAGGTAAACTTTTTCTAAAACTTTCTTTTGATTGTATACACCTATACACTTGATAACAGTAAATATTACAAATATTTTATTTTTTATGACTTTTTGTCAGACATCAAATAAAAAAAAATCATCAGAGCCAACAAAATACCAAACACTCACCTCTACAACTGAGTTATTGTTTAGCTTCTGTTTGTTTCCAGCCAATATGGCTTTACCATCGACATAAAATGGACGTTTTCCCTCGTTTGCGATGAAGAAATCCCCGTTACTGCGGAGCTTGATGATTCCTTGACGACGGGAAATTTTCCACGCTGGACCCTCCAGTGATAGATCTACATCAATCTGATTGTCCTTAGTCGCTCTCCCTAATGTAATCTAGAAATAAAACAATTTATATTGAAATATATACACTACTGCATATACTATGAAATATGTCTAATCCAACACACTGTGAATTCCAACAATGAACATTAAATTTCTTTCCCATTTAACTATTTCCCAATCCCATGTTTTTAACATGCAATTCAACACCCTGTCTATTCTATCACAAAACTTGTCTCCCAATGCATGTCAGATAAGACAAGTTTCACTGTACATGTATAATTAATATCTACCTACTATAATGAGAAGGCATATGTAGTTGAGAAGGTAGTAGCTACTTTTTCTTTCTAATCACTAAATAATTTATCTGCATTCACCCTATATACTCCCATCAAATCTTCTAGCCTTCAAAAACTAACACGCCTTTCATATGGAAGTCTACCTTCAGATGTAACTAGTATCCCTAGCCAAAGTTTCAAATCTTTGCAAATCCTTTTATATCATTATGTCATACAGTATATCCTGTAGGATGTTTGTATCACATGTAAAATGGTTGTTTTTTAAGTAGATCTTACCTCCTTTGACCTCATTAAGTAGCGGACAAGTCTTCCCCTTAGTACAGCCAATGTCTGGTTGTCAAAGTCTTGTGGACTGATTCCTGCATAATATGTAATGTTATAGTAATTGTTTTCAAAGTACTGTTTTGGGAGATGGAATATTTGACTAATAGTTTGACCTAAACCTAGCTTAATTCCTTATGTCACTTTCCTTTGTTTGGTAATATTTTTAGCTTAATTAAAAATTAATTTTAAGGCTTTAACAATTAAAGTCAAGAGATAAGATCAATGTACCTGAGCACATACTAATTCTATCAATTGGATCTACAGTTAATTCTCGATAAACCGCCACCTTTTGTAATTTAGAAACCATGGCGGTTTAACGAATTTGGTGATGAATTGAATTTTCAATCTTTTAGGAAATAAGACGTAGAGTTATCATTCTTAGAAATACCATTTAGCGTTTCTATTCTTATTATCACATTACATGTATATATAAACATATTTCTAAATTTAAAAATACTTCAAGTAATTTTTTTTTTATGTACAATTTCGCTAAAACAAAATATTCAGTTATGAAATTACAACAAGTACATGTGTATGCATGTAAATCTGCACGTCTGATATTGAAAAAAAAAATGCTGGGTCGATCGTCGTGATATATTGCCTATAGTATGGAAAATAAGTTCTTGAATAAATTCATTGTTTATGAAATCATTGTTAATGAAACGTTCACAATTTCTGACTTATAATGATCATTTTTTAAGCAAACTTTGCATTGTTTTTAAAAGCAGAGATCATCAAAATAATATCAGCGTACTTTACAATGACCACTTTCGTGGCGAAGCCTTGACTAAATGATTTCATTAAACAGAAAACAAAATTATTCTAACAGTTCATGTTAAAATTATTGTTCACTTAAGAGGCTGGGGTGTGGCAGCCATTTTCAGACTATTTCGATCTCCTTCAGAAGAAGAGCTCCATATAAAGATATACAAAAATGATCAAATCTTAAAACTAGAATGTATGAATTTTTTCTTTACCAAATGATAGTTGACAGCTTAAGATACCGTATCTAAAAAAAAAATAAGTTAAATCTGGTGGTTAATTTGTGTTTAATTTGTTGACCCCCCAGCCTCCTTAATTGCATGTACCTTGACTGGTTTTACATGCTTTACAACAGGGATAGCGTCAACTAATTAGCCGCGCTTCTCTGACCACATGCACCTGTGGCGGTATTATCGAGATAATTGACACTTAAAAATGGACGTTTGTTGTGAAAACAGGGTGGCGGATGGCGATATGCGAATTTGGCGTTATAAAGAGAATTTTATATAGCAGGAAAAACGTTCTTGGGAAATCATGGCGGTATTGCGAAAATGGCGATGAATCGAATGGCGATAATTCGAGAATTGACTGTACTTATTTTAAACTAGAACTGTCCAATAGGGACAAATACCCCCCGCTGGGTTTTTCAGAGAAGGTGCCAATTCAGAAATACTTTATGGATCTAGAGGTGTTCACAATTTACTTACAAAAATTTGCAGTGAAATATAGTTGCTCATCATGTTTCTTAATGAATGAAACAAAGGTGCAACCAAATGAAACATCAATACTAATACATTGTAATTCCATTGGAACCTTATTTTTTTATTTTATTTTTTATTTCTGCATTAAAAAAATATATATTGCAATTATGTGTTATGACACTCTGCAAACTGATTATTGAAAAAAAAATCATATTATACAAAATCAAATTAATCTTGATAACTTTATATCAAATTCATTTTGAAAATAAAGAGCTGGTCATCCAGTAATGAAGTGCTTTGACAGACAATATATTACAATTAAGAGAATAAGAGAAGAGAGATCTTTAATTCTTGTGCCCGATTCCCAGGAGACAACACATGGTTGATAATGAGATGCCTTAATGTTCAACTTCCCACACCAAACTCATTAATTTATCTTTAACTGGATGCATGTCCAGTCATTATTCCCAAGAGACAAATGAAATTACGTTATCTTCTGTGCAATGTAAAAACTGTTTTAACACTTGATGAAGTTTCTTTTTTTTTTAAGTTTTTATGAGTAGTTTTAAGCTGTAGTTCACATTTTTGTACAGATATTCTAGATTCTATGTCTCAAACCTTATACATGAGCCCAAAAAGAACAAGTCAATTAAAATAAAAAAAAACCTGTAAAATGCAGAAAAATGAACAAAAGGAGTTGAAAATTCCAGGTGCACACCTTCATATGGTGAATAATAAGTGTACAAATTTTAAGATTAATCCTTGCAATAGTTTCTGAGAATATAAAACCACAAAATAAAAATGAAAAAAACACCTGTAAAATTCAAAATAATAATTTGAATCAAGTTGAAAATTCCAGGTGCACACCTTCATATGGTGAATAATATGTGTACAAATTTTCAGACCAATCCTTTCAATAGTTTCTGAGTAATGGTCCGGACAAAATCTCGTCTACAGACAGACGGACGGACGGACAGACGGACAGACAGACGGACATGGTGATTCCAATATACCCCCCCTAAACTTCGTTTGCGGGGGGTATAAAAAGATAAAGAAATCTCTTTTTTTTTTTTTACCAAAGATATCTTCAGTATTCATCATAAGTATGGAATGTATTAACAGTACATGGATTCAATTTACCTGTAACACTGTCCACCAATACCTGCCATTTTGGAAGTTCTTGTTCTAAATGACGAATTTCATTCTTGTTTCTTCTGTCAGCCACAGATAATTCTACAAAACCGCACCATATTTTTATTCTAGATTTTGTACATTTCAAAGTTACTGTTAGCCATTAAATTATTCAGCATCTGATAAACAATGAACAACTGGAATAAATGATTTGCACTCTTTCAACATTAATCATATCTGTGTTAACCACTTAAGCGTACCAAACATTGTAATTTTTTTCATCAAAAACAAGGCAAGATGATTTGATGTAAATTTCACAAAACCTAAAATATAATACATGTATCTGTATTCACAGATTTGACTACATTCTTGGTGTTTTAGGACATAAAACTCTATTTTAATATTTAAATACCTCAAAAAAAAAATTAAACTGCAAACGTTTATGTACATTTTAATCATATTTGAATTCCAATCCAAAAAAATTTTCCTTCAAAAATACAATTTACTGTACCTTGCTCTAGGATGTCATCTTTTGGATCCCTGCAATATCAAGAAAAAAAATATTGTCAATATACAAAATTTTGCATATATTATCATTTTGATACAATGGATTTGCAGACTGTTATACATTGTATATAAAAAATAATACCATAGAAAAATATTTGTTTTAAATGTAGTATGAACTTTAATATATTTATAAATTAAATATGTGTACAGGTAAGTATCTTACTTGAGATCGTCATCATTCATCATTTCCTCGGCATCAGAAAAATTCAGGACATGATCACCACGAGGAATTGGCTGAACTGTCAATGGAATTTTGATTATCTATTATTTTTTTTTTTATACAACAAATAAATTAGGAAGGGTTGAGGTTTGAAGCAAGTTCTTCCATTCAGTGTTTCACATGCCAAATACTGTAAATTAATTAAAACAGCAATACAGAGAACATGTTAAAAAGTTAAAAATGAATTTAAATACATCAAAGTGATTTGCACTCCTCACCATTCAAAATACTTTCCAAAAATAATGATTCACATTGTGAAATGTATAAAGCATTGAAATTTTTATTCCTGGTTCTTTGCTATAGGCATGTTTTACTACCGTAATTTCGGGAATATAGGTCGATGGGGTATATAGGTCGAAAGGCTCATTTTCAGCCTTAAATTTTGAAAAATCCTAAGATAGGTCGAACTTACTATATAGGACGAGGCTTTGTTTCCCGTTTTCTTAAGATTTTAACGCAGATACAACGTATCAGAACAGGTAAACCCCTAAAATTATCGGGGTTATTCCGTGACATGAACGTATCAAGAAAATAAACAGGTATTTTAATGAGTACAGCAATTAAATACTGTTTTGTAAAAAAAATGTAGTTAAAACTTCTTTGAATTGTGTAACTACTTATTTTTCTCCAACTTGCCTGTTCAATGCCTCCGTAGTTTCACACTGTTGTTAAATCAGAGGCATAAATAACACGTAAATACGTTATTATTTTACAGCTATAAATCGGGAGATACCCAAGACCAAAGAATAGTAATTCCGATTTCAGAACAACTTGAACACATTCCTAATAAATTTTACTCAAACATTATTTACCGGTGGACGACAATTACTTCGATGTCCGCCATTTTTATTTTTCTTCTCCAGGGATTTGCTAAAACACGCAAATGACCATTGAATGTATATATCAAGCAACAGTAAAGAATTGAAATCATATTAACACTCTATAAGTTTAATTTATAAATTTTAATTGAGAGTACATTCACAATTTGACTTTCAACATGAATTTCACGACATTGTTTGTTCAATGATGTGTAACACTAATACCCTATAATGGCACGTGGGTTTCTTAATCATGCCCCGCAGGCATTTAAACCAACAGTGAACACAGGTGTTAAACACCTTTGCGTACACAGTGTACGGTAAATCCCTTTATCTGTCAGACAATTAAAATTCTGTTAGAAGCCAATTTGTGTATACCGGTAAATAATTAATTAATATTTAAAAAAAAAACAGTAATGACTTTTTTTTTTAATTAAATTTAGGAATTGAATTGATTATTTCACTCGTTTTACATTTAAATAAACATAAGACAATAAAAAATATTTGATATACTATTTCAATTTATCGCTACTAATAAATGGTAAAAACACAACAGTTGTGATCGTGAAAATTTTCCGTATTTTAAATTTTGATACGGTTGCGGTTTTACTTTTAGTACACGATCGCGACTTCCTAACTTCACAAGATGGAAACCGCATGATGTTAATGGATAATACGTTGAGGAATTATTTAATAGATATAGCAACGTTGTTTTCATTTGTCATCAACAGATAATTAATGGAACTTATTTTGTAAGAAAGCTATAGAATAAATATTTTATTGTTTACTGGAGCATTAATTTTTTTGCGAAAATAATCAAAAAAGTTACGAAAGTGGCACAGATTTGCTTTGAAATTGGCGTAAATTTTACTGATTTGGGGGCATTTTTCGTAAACTTGAGCCTTAAATAGGTCGAATTCTGAATATTGGTCGACCCCAGCGGTTCTGAGAAAAAAAGTATCGACCTATATTCCCGAAATTACGGTATATATTTCACAATGATATCAAATGCATGTGAGAAATACATGTACATTGTATATTGACACAATAACACTGTATAAGGTACATGTATGTTTGTGATACTTTGATATAAAATTAAATTGTTTCACAGAGCACCATTAAATTTTGAACCAGACATTTCTGAGAGACACTACCTGACTGGTCTGGTAGAAGATGATACTGTTTCAGCAGTAGCCAGTGATTGTGTAGAGCCTTGGCCGTGCGGAGAGGATAAAATGAGTCTGGATTTTGCTCCAAGAGATCCTGGAAGGTTTCCAGACTTGGTTGACTTGACTGAAAACAAAAATGTGGTAAAACTTTCAAGAACAAATTTCATATTTCCGGTTCTTTTCAACAATATTAAACATAGGTAATCAGAGATTACAGAGCTCACCTCAACGAATGTTGTCTTTAAGTAAGGCAAAGTCACACAATTAACCAAAAAAAAAGTGTACATTCCAAAAATGAAAATATTTAAGCAATTTTGATCTGATACTTTGAAATAGACCTACATAAAAAATTTAAACTAGTTCTTCTTAATGAAAATGTAATCAAAATCCAGCATCTGAAGCAAATTTGAGATTTTCATCTCTTGATGCAACATTTGTGCAAGTTCGGTTTATACTATGTTATATGAGCCTTATAGGTTTTTGGTAATAGACCTGCAACCATAACTTTTACCTGGTCTATTATCTGAAAAATGTATGTCAAATTCAGCATCCGAAGCAAGTCCATTAGTGTGCATCCTAAGATGTATCGTCCATGCAAGTTTGCTCATAATAGGGCTCATAGTTAATTGGAAATGAAACAAGTATTAAAAACTAACATTTTCAGTCATCCACAAAAAGTAGGTCAGATTCAGCATCTGAAGCAAACCTGGTAGTATGCATCCTTAGATGTATCATCCATGCAAGATTGGTCAACATAGGACTTATAGTTACTTGGAAATGAAACCTGCACCAAAAACTTTAACCTGTTCACTCAACCAGAAAATGTAGGTCAGATTCAGCATCCGAAGCAAGCCCAGTAGTGTGCATCCTTAGATGTATCATCCATGCAAGTTTGGTCAACATAGGGCTTAAAGTTACTTGCAAATGAAACCTGCACCAAAAACTTTAACCTGTTCATTCAACTGGAAAATGTAGGTCAGATGCAGCATCTGAAGCAAGCCCGGTAATATTCATCCTTAGATGTATCATGCATGCAAGTTTGGTCAACATAGGGCTTAAAGTTACTTGCAAATGAAACCTGCACCAAAAACTTTAACCTGTTCACTCAACTGGAAAATGTAGGTCAGATTCAGCATCCGAAGCAAGCCTGGTAGTATCCATCCTTAGATGTATCATCCATGCAAGTTTGGTCAACATAGGACTTATAGTTACTTGGAAATGAAACCTGCACCAAAAACTTTAACCTGTTCACTCAACCGGAAAATGTAGGTCAGATTCAGCATCCGAAGCAAGCCCGGTAGTATGCATCCTTAGATGTATCATCCATGCAAGTTTGGTCAACATAGGGCTTATAATAACTTGGAAATGAAATCTACACCAAAAACTGCACCAAAAATGTTAACCTGCTCCAAAAACATTAACCTGGTCATTCCTTTGCTGAAACTGCAGCATCTGAAACTTTGAATGGTACAATGAAACACAGTAGAACCATCTTTCATGCATGTCTAATCAATATAGGACATAAAAGTACTTAAAAAGAAAACTGCTCCAAAAAACTTAACCTTAACCTGGGACGCCGACGCCGACACCGACGCCGACGCCGAGGGTATTACATAAGCTCCCCCAACTTCGTTGAGGTGAGCTAAAAACAATCACATTTCATTAAATTGATCAAAGCATTTTCAGAATTGAAAGCTTCTTTTCGTCAGCACATTGAAAACACATAATTTTTTCATTTTAATGTTAGATTGTTGATGAAATGAGTGTCTGAATGACACAATACATATTACATACAGATGCAATTGTTCCCAATAATGATTCCTCCTCTTTACTATAGAGAGCTTTAGACTGAACTTCTGCAATCACATCAGGGTGGATCTGGTTCATGGCCTGCACTGCTAACCTGGTTAACAAGGAAAAATTGTTATTATGGTAGTCAGGATTTAAGGGGGCCGACTATAGTTTCCATTGCGCAATATTTGGTGCATCATAGTAAAATGAAGCGTATTTACTGTTTTAATGCAACTTTTTTTTGCTTAATTATTAAAATTAAACAAAATTAAGAAATTAAAGATGTAAAAATGTAATTACAATTTGATATAACTGATTTTTTAACCGATTTTGCAATTGATAGGTAGGTTGACGTCGTTGCAGTGTGTTTTTGATGTTATGATAATCTGTAGCTCTTAAAGAAAGGGGTAATAAAAATATTATTAAGGAAAAAGTAATAAACAGACGCTCTTGAAATTTAAAATATAGAAATTTGAGAATATCTCCAATATTTTTATCATGTTTTCATGTGAAGCCATTGTGTACGTCATATTTTGTAATACTCTATAAAAACAGTAAAATTTGCTAATTTTTGGCATTTTGAGATGCCCCCTCTGGTAACAAGAAGGTAGAATTTTGTGATTCTTACACATATTGTATAATATAGTATTACTCATCAAATATTATAGTTTGAACAAAATGTTTATTGTAGTATTTGTAAAATTTGCTTTAAAGTGCTAAAAATTGGCATTTTCCTATATAATCCTATAGTAAATGTACTGTATTTTGAGACAGTCCCTCAAAAATACCTGGATGGCATGTACAAAGTTAATGCAAGTTATATATGGTATAAAAATGAAGAGTTTCGCTATTGTAGTTTTCACACAATAAAACTATAGTCGGCCCCCTTAAAATGCAACATTTTTATCTAAATGACTGAGGCATCAATGTAACAAACAATTAAAAGGCACCCTTGAAGACGTATGCTCTTCTAATTCAGATTGTACTTACTTGGAGATTATAGGGTCATACAGCAAAGCATACCACCTTTCTTGAATTTCTTTGAGAGTAAATCGACATGAGAACTTCACACCTAAATGCACAGCTGTCAAATCATTTGTCTGCAGAAAGAAAAAAATCCTATCATGCATTAAAGTTTAACACCTTATACATGTATGTTTCAAACAAGATTTTACTGCCCTTGATGACAGATATAATAATTTCCAGGGATCAATATTAATGGTTGTCTGATCGCCCAGGGACAAGTAAATTCTCACTTCGAGCATGTGAAACTATCAACCGGTGTCCCACTGGGCAAGTGAATTCTTCTTAAAGAAAATGTATATTGTTACCTTATTTACATTAATTATAAATAAAACAATAGATTAAACACTTGTCAGCCAGGTATGTTACTGACATTGTTTTTGCATTCAGAATCCATTGGTAGCATTTCTAGATTATATGTTTATTTAAAAATTCAGGTTTATTATTCTTTATTTCTTTTGTGGTAAAATGTCCTACATAGAACAACTTTGTTAACTTTAGATTAATAATTCATTCACACTGACAGAATGTATAGCGGTATTGAAGTAACTTGACACATCCTGATAAAGATATGTATTATTCATAGCAACTAGATTCCTTAGTAGCAATGCATCTTAAATCAAAATTCATAAAACGATCCTACATTTAAAAATATGGGTTATTGATGCATTACAGTGCATGTTTAAAGTTGAAATAGACAAGGACAGTAGTATACCTGATTTTTCAATGTACAAATGCACAGTCTTCACGCTTAACTTTTTTGACTACAAGCCGGTAGGGCAAGTGAAAGTATAAAAATTGGTAGCCCAAACGAAATTTTACTAGCTCAACTCAAGAGTAATAAAAAATGAACAAATGACGTTTTAATAAGTGCAATCACATTTGTATTTCTGATTTAATTCAATTTGATCACTAAACGTTCAAAACAACTTTGAGTACCAGTGTTTGTTTTAAACACTTTGCTGCATCAGTCAACAGTGTGAGTGTGACATGCACACATCTTTAAATAAAAAATACTTACAGTAAGATTATGAAAATTATTATAAATATTATAAATTATGGTTAGATTTCCAGCCAATTTTGCTGACACGTTGATTCTGCGTACTTCATTTTGTGAACCAACTTTTATTTCTTCTGTAAGAGCCCTCCTGTTTGTGAATCACTGACCTGGGATATCCCTTCTTGATATTTTATAAAAGGAATCATACTTAAAATTCGCCACCGGAAATTTACTAACTAGCCCATCGGGCATGCGCGTAAATAATTTTTGGTAGCCCAATCCCAATTTTACCAGCCTCGGTCATCGGGCTACCGATTAATTTCAAAGACTGAATGTTTTTTTTTCTTTAGGTACCTCAACTTGCTAGATTCACATTAGTGTATCTGTTTACATATTTTCTCATCATAACATTTACAGTTAATAAATCGTTTCTCTTTTTATGTATAATTTACCTGTTGTACAGCTGTTATTAATGCGAGATCATCTTGTGCCTTCCATCTTCCCAGATCCTTTGATGAAGCAGGTGCTGGAGGCTACAATTTTTTTGCATATATAAAAACATCATTTACAGGTTATGAATTATATTACATGGACATACCTAATTCTGAATTTCTTTTTAAATTGATGACTAGCCTGGAATGGGACAAACAGAACTGACAAATTGTAATAATGTTAATTTATTATCTACTTAACTTTAGATTTAAACTAAAGGACAAGCAGTGGATTACCAGAAATTTCTTTTAATACCAAGTTCAAAGACAAAGCATTAAAAAATTAAAATATTCATTATACCTTTTGTTTCTTCGCCCTTTTTGCTGATGATGTGACTGACTTAGAAACCTGAAACAAACAAACTTCATTATACACATGTGTGAAGTAGGGCTGGGTATCAGCCACATTTTTAGTATTGCCATATATTGCGATAACTTTAACTGTATTGCGATATGTATTGCATGTGTTTTTCTGGTTTATTCTACATATTCACCTTTTTCTTTTCAGGTGGAGGAACAGGAGGTTGTTCTTTTTCAACAGGTTCTATTTTCTCTAGCACTTGTGTCACGGTTGGCAGTTTTGCTACCCTTCCTCTCTCTGTTTTAATTAGACTGCTCTCTACTAATTCATCGTCAAATTTCTTGCGCTTGATAGACCTGGAAGACGTTCTCCTGGGTTCATGGCCCATGATTTGTGTGGGTATAATCTGGCTGATCCTTTGTTTAGGAGTTCCTTCAGCAGACAGAGATCCATGACTGTGAGCTAAAAATACTGTGGTTGCAAATTTCTAAGCAAAAAAATTTGATTAAAAAAAAGAAGAAGAAGAAAAAAAACAGAATATTGTATTAAATTAAAAATAATCAATTTTCTATTGTGAATGAAATGTACATTAAAATAAGAATATTTATAAAATGTGAACAGTACGGTAAAACTCATCCCTCAATCCTAATATCAATTGTCTGCCCCATATTATAGGCCTTTCAACTGCCGCTAGGGGTCAGTGTTATGAACGATAACTCACTGCTGAAACTTGTTTAGAGCAGGCTCGGGGTATCTAACTGTTTACACGCAAGGCAGTTTTTAGCATTTACCTGTTTACCAAGTGTTTCTTTGCTCTCAGTAGAATCCCAGTGCTTTTAAAATTTAGCACCAATGTTAAACTTATTTACTGTATAGTTGCGAACACCTGTTTACTGCATATAATTAAAATTTTTAATTAAAATAAAAAGTGAAATCTACCCTCCTTCTCATTAAGTAAATTTTATACAGATTCGTTTAGTAACACAAATAAGATGATCAATTGTTGCATTTACTTGTAAAAATATATGTATTTATATAGGAAGCGAAAAAGCGCAACACAAAAAACATGACATTAAATTTTCTTCTTCATGATAATCGTGAGAGTTAAAACTATAATATAGTCTGTTCCCCATTCATTTGACCCTGTTATTTCAGGTAGAATATTCTCTTTCAAAACTTTTTGTGTACAAAACAATGTAAGGAACCCTTATGTGTATATAACAATATCAATGCTATAGCCTTTATGTCATTATAAACGATCATTCAATTGCATTTTTCACACAGTTACCTGTCCTTAAACACAAATTAAAAGTAATTATAAATGATTAAACCTTTTAATGATGTAATTAAAACAATGCATCAGTTATTATCTTTTTTGATAATTTCATGTACCTAGAAATCCATCTATACAATGTTTTTTACAATATGTGCAACTTGAAAAATTAGTTGAAAGGCCTACATATTAGAATACAAGTAAAAGAATCAGGACATAACCCACCTTTCTTGACAAAGGGAGAATTTTCCAAAGTATTTTCACTTGTTTGTGGAAGAATGGGTACTTCATTTGTCGTCTGGGACATCTTGGAAAACTATATGACACGGTTATTCTCTATAAAATTGATAAAATTAATCGGAAAAATATAAACAGTCATACTTTGACGCCATTTTTAAAAAAAACTAAACATTGAAATAATTTCGTATGGATTGTATTTTCCCGGATTAACTCAAAGGTGTACTTGATTTGTCAATTTGCAGTCAGCACGTACTCAAACAAACTCGTACAAAAAGTAGAAAAAGGGCACGTAAAGAGTACCAGAGGTCAATATTATCCCAATTAGAAAACTTGCATGAAGAAAATCCAAAAATGTATTCTCGTTAATGATCTTAAAGAAGGAGACTTGTGTCACGGATGGAAAATTCCATTGATTCAGATACTTGGCTAAATCATTTTCAGAGCTCTCTTTATTTTAAATATTCTCCAGAAAAGTCTTGAACTCTCTACATTAGATTTTCCTATAAAACAATCATCTCAAGCAATTGCTAAACTTAAACATAACAAGTCTCCTGGTTTAGATAATATTTCAAATAGTATGTTAAAATGTGGGCACATGTTTTACTATCCTGTCTTGTTAAATTATTCAATATGGTGTTGTCCAGTGGGAGATATGTGTGTGGATATATTTCTACAATTCATAAAGGTGGTGATCCTAATTATAGAGGGATCACTGTAACAGGTGCAATAGGAAAAATTTTTAATAGTATTTTGAATAACAGACTAGACAAATTTCTTATGGAAAACAGAGTCATTGATGATTGTCAGGGATTTACCAAGAAAGCCAGAACATGTGATCATATGTTTATTCTAAAATGTATTTTTGATAAATATTGCACTGAAAAGAATGGGAAACTTTATGCATGTTTTGTAGATTTTCATAAGGCTTTTGAATTTTATACATAAATAAAAATTAAACTTCTTCAGATAGAAGTTGGAAGAAAAATATTGTCAAAGAAATGTATCAAAGTATTAAATTAAAAAAATCAATTTTCTATTTTTTTCCAATCCAAAGGTGTTAAGCATTAAAAATCTGTTTAAAATATTTATAAAATTTACCGAAATACATGGATAACTCTTTAGATTCTGTTACTCTTAATGATCACATAATACACTGTTTAATGTATGCTATGATTTAATCTTGCTATCAAGCACAATCAAAACTTGATATATTGGACAAATAAAATTGTGTCTAAATGTTAACTTATCTAAGACAAAAATTATGATTTTTAAGAGAGCTGGAAAAAAAATATCAGAAAAGTTTTCTTTTCAAAATAAGTTGATTGAATGTGTTCAACAATACAAATATCTTGGTATTTACTTTTGTAACTCAGGTTCTTTTACCTTTGCTCAAAATGAATTATATAAGAAGGCCTTGAAAGCATGTTCAAAATTACAGAGAGAAATTATGTCCTCTCAATATTAACCTTCATATATTTGATCATACCATTTCTCCTATTCTTCTATATGGTTGTGAAATTGGGGGGGGGGGGGGGGTTAAACCCCTTTGCTTCTAAGTTTCAAAACAAAGATATTAAAATGGACAAAATATTCAAAAAATAAAAATTTGAAACAATGCACATTAAATATTGCAAGGATTGTTTCAATTTAAAATAATTTGCAGTTCTGTATTGATTTCCAGTATCATTCAGTTATTAAAGCTATGCTAAGTTACTGGTTTCGGACATTACATCCATCCTTTGTCCTACTCAAAGAAAATGATTTTTTATAAACCATCATGGTTTGCAATTAACAATTTTGGGTCATTTAACTGCTTTCAAAAAATTAAATATTGACTTATCAAATTATATCACATGTTCCTTTAAAAAGAAGTCATCATGTATTATAAGACAAAATTTTATAAATCAATGGTATAGAAAAAATAGGCAGCAAAATGATGGCAAACTAAGACAGGAAGAGAACACTATCTCCAATTGTTAATAACTATGATCAGAGGAAAAATATAACTAAACTTCGCATTTCTGCACATCAATTAAATATTGAAAGGGGAAGATCAGGACATAACCCAATCTTGTTCTCAATGTAATACACAGGAAGTAGGAGAATTTTTTGCCATTTGTATTTTCACAATGATTTAAGGTTGCAATTAATGGAAACAATATCAAAAATCAACCCAAATTTCTCTTCTTTGACACCTGATGAAAAACTTATATGGATATTGAATTCTGAAAATAAAAAATTTTATGATAAAATTTATTTCTGAAAATGGTAAAAGAACCAATATAAATACATAGTCACATCTTGTTTATGCATGCTCAGCCATTTAAATTTATAAATAGCATCACATTTTTGTATTGTTTTGTGATCATAATTCTTCTGGACACTTGTATAAATGTATGATCAGAGACACTGAGAACAATATTATTATGTAACTTGGTCATTTATATAACTGTTTAAAAAAATTAATTATATTGTTATATATATATATATAAAAAAGAGAGAGAATGTTTAAATTGTATATTTATGTATGTTGAAATGCCCCCCGGGGCCCTTGATTGGTAAATAAAATATCTTGTATCTTGTATCGTACAGTCGTACACAAGTCAGCTCGTAATAAAAGAAAACAGGCCGTATTCGAAAATGGACTGTGGTGCTTATGATGAATGGTTGAACTTTATTTATTGGTATTTATTTCAAATTACAGGAATTTGCCTGTATTCGGCCTAAAAAGCTTGTAACAGTTATATATTGCACTACTTTACATGTAACATTTGGGGCCCACCGGCTTTAAAAACTATAGCATGTGATTAGGGGTACCGGACTTTCCACACCCAGCATTATACGGTAGTATTTTGGGTTGTAGGATCCCGGGCACGTTGCAACAGGGGTTGGGGGGGGGGGGTTCAACTACTTTTTTCCAAACATAACTTGCCGATATATGGTGACCGCGGCGTTTCTAAATGAAGAAAAATAAAATTCTCGGATGGGACGTAAAACAACAACCAATCAATCAATTAAAACAATTGTTTTTAGGGGGGTGGTGATTTCGCATTTCAGTTATACTTACTTTGTAAACCAAATTATGAATATACTGACGGGCGTGCAGATATGATAATGGAGGATCAAGAATTCTTGAATGGGAGTCTGGTTTGGGTCTGATTGGCGGCCCATATCTAACCCTCTGAAGGCTTTTTGGAAGGATTTTCCGATTAATTTTAGCTTTATGTAAAATTAATGCAAAATCCCGGGAAGAACCACTGTATTGGTCTTTTGTAAAAAAAAAGAAACAGAGAGTGAAATATTCATCTTTCAGCCGGTGGTAAAATGCGATTGGTTAAAAAAATTTTGAAACAAGTAGAACATGTAGACACGACACAGACCAATTGAGCAGGTGAAGAATCATATAAATGTGACAACAATTTCAAAGCGTGAAATGTTCATATTTCATGAGTAAGTTGCGATAGGAAAAAAAATAGAGTGAAATATTCATCTTTCACGAAAAGGTTGAGTAAAATTGCGATTGGTTTAAAAAAATGAATCGAATCAAGTACAACCGGAAGTATGCCAAATCACATGATAATTTACTGACGAACTTCCACAATGGTAAGTGCCTATCTACACAATTATTTACCGGCTAAAGTCATTATTTCCAGTGGTAATTAGTATTTCATTATTAAGAAATCTCAAAGTGATTTATAGTAATGCCTTGTATAAAAAGATTTCTGATATGGCATTGCCAAATAAATTTAAATCTTAGAGTCGATCGGTGTACACAGAACTACTGAAATGTCAAAAGCAGTCTCTGATAAATTTAACAGTAACTTTCAAGACTTTTTGTATATTACTGTTTACATATAATTGTAACATATATTTCTCATTGCTAAAATCATAAAATGTTGTGTCAAGAGTTTCCTTCATCATCTCATGTTTTAAAAATTTATTCCCAACAGCTGAAGAAAGCACATGACAGTGATGACTAGACTACCATAAGTTATAAATAGCCTGACTACATGTAACAGTACAGATACTGTAATATAAATATATTTTTAAAAAAATAGAAGAGCAAACAACAAGGGTACAAAAGGCTCACAATATTTTGCAAGGAAGTTAGGGGGCATGATCATGTTGATCTCATGCTAAACTAGAAGAAAAATTTGCTGGTACATTTCTTGACATTGTCACTCAGAGACTTGATGGACATTTTTTTTTGTTAATTTGAGGTGACAACAAATGGAACTCAGGGATATGAAAAAAAAAATAATCATCAGACATTATTATTTATGGGGCAAAAATGTGTTAGCTAAATATGTTTTCTATTATGTTCTGTATATCATGTATATTGGTAACTTTTTTCTGGGCGGAGGGGAGGGGGCTGGTTCACTTAGCCAAGTTATACACTAGAACATGCCCCCCCCCCTGGTTCCTACAACCATGTTATAGAACTAGAACAATAAGTTAACTACTCTTTGGGGACATCTGCAAATCTTGAGGGATTTTTCGGAGAGTTTTTGATGAACATACAAGAATCCCCATCCAAGGAAACAGAGCCATCACTCTCTATTTCTGTTGTCTAGGATTATAAAATAATGACAGTATAAGGAAAATGTATTGTGCTGGACAGCCCATGTGCACCCCATGTGGGCCCCACTCAACCCCAAATTGTGCATATTTTGGATGAGTTGATTGAATATTTAGCATGTTTATTTTAGTGCATATAAATAAATATTTGTTAAATACCAATGAACCACAGTTAAATATTGTATAAAATATTGTTTTATAAATCAATATGATGAAAGGAATGGTTCACCAAGACAACAAATAAATTCTTGCTTATATAGACATGTTACTATAAGAGTAACACACATCCAAGTTTATTGTTTTTCTTTGGGCTGCACAGAAAACAATTAAATAATAAATGCATAAATAATTTTTAAACAGTAATTTAAAAAATTGCTTTCCTAATAAATAATAATGATGTATATGTTATTTTGCAAAAGTTGAGTAAACCGAAGATTATTTTTGATCGAGCATTAATTTGTAAACTAGACAATTACAAATAATTCATGTTTATTGTAGAATCAAAGGAGTCCAAGTGTATCTTATAGATTTAGATCTAAGAAAATCGAAAGTTATGTTCAAAATCATTAAGCTGATTGCAATTCTGATAGATAGAATGTGCAAATATCTTGAACACCCAAATATGATAAACTAATGTTGTCTAAAGATTTCTCCTGACCTAGATAAGTGTATATAAATATTTGATCTTTTGGTATTGCTGTATCATCACTTCTTAACCACGGAGGTATTTCAGACCTTCATGGCAGCGATTTTCTCTGACTTTACAAGGTCACATTGATAAAGGGACACTTTGGTTCTTAATGAGCTAGCAGATTTTTTTTTGCAAAAATTTTTTAAGTCTTGTTATTAGACATGTATTTTTAAAAAAATTGAAATTAGCATTGCATATGTGCCAATTCTTTATTTTTGAGTTTCTAATGAATGTCATAATATATGTGAAAATATTTAAATCATTTATTTTTAGCAATATACTTGACCAAGTAATTTCTCTGACACAGAATGTTATATAACTTGATAACAATTTGATATTTCCCTTTAGATACTACTACTATAAGTATACTGTAAACCAACTTTTATTCGCGTGCGAGAAATTTTCGTGAAGTTCGCGAGAGCCTCGTCATCGCGAATATTTCTACTGTGTCTATAAAAAAGAAACTTTATCGCGAAAATTTAATAAAATATAGTTCGCGAATTGGTTTACAGTATTTTGTCAAAGGACATCCCCCCTCTTCTTATAGACTATCATTGTAAAGATTGGAACTGTGATTAATTTGAAAATTTTTGCATATACAGTAAAACTCATTTAGTACGAACATGGATATAGTGAATTCACGGATATAGCGAAATTAATTTGGATCCCCAGTAATCATGGTAATATAAATTTAATGAATTCCTTCTACGGATATAATGAAATAGGGATATAGCGAAGTCATCTCATCGGTCCCAGTGACTTCGTTATAACCAAGTTTTACTGAAGTAAATACATTTACAGGTTCAAAAACATTTATAAAGAGATTTTTAAATTTTCTTGCAACAGATTCAGACTTGAATGAATTTTTACTGTCTGTAATGTGTTGAAATGTGTTGAAATGGATACTTCCCAGTTTTGAAAACTTCTCAAAAACATAAAAGATATGATACTGAATTCTGAATCATACTGAATTTTGATCAATCATCACTAGGTAAGGTTTGATATACATGTATTTACTGAAGCCTGTACTTAGTGTTTATTGTCTTCATTTTCAGGCAGGAGGATTAGAAAGAGCACGGAAATTGCCCAAAATTGTGGACACGGAGAATGAGTCCAAATTTGGTTACGTGTTTGCCGTATCTGGTCCTGGTAAGTACACGAGACAGATTGGTCAATTTTACTCAGTGTCCAGATCTAAATTCATCACAGAGGCTACAATAATTTAATTACAAGAACTATGTGTGTGGTTCTATAATGTTTCTTTTTTTTTTTTGCTCAGTGCAAGATTTTCAAATCTTGTGACATTTAGTACAACAGATTTTGTTTATTTTTGTTTCTTACTTTTGAATTGTATATTTACATGAACTTCTTAAGAAAGGATAAATTTTTGAGGTAGACAAGATCAATAGCCTTAGGTCTTTATGTTTAAGTTTATATTTTTTCATCTATTGCAAAATTCAGATTGGTGGGTTTACAATTTGCAAGTTTCAGTCAAGTGTACTTTTATATCCCATATCTATTATTTAGAAAAAAAAGAACATCATGCATATTCTATGATACCTGCAAGTCAAGATGTACATCTTATCCTTGAGAATTTAGTAAAATAAAAATCTTTTATACATGCATGCTAAAATTTTGTGTGCCAATGCATTCTCACTCGCAGTGTAAAGTCAAAGGTGTCTTGATTAATTTCAGCCAATCAATCAGCCGAAGCACATACATGTATTACTTAAAAGCAAACAAGAAACTTAAAAAGACAAAAATAATGCTGTAGTATATTTAATTTATTTAATTATTTGTGACAGTTTGATGACTTTTAATATCTTTTTCAGAAGTTTATTTAGTTAATCATTTTGTGACATTTTTATGACATTTTTGTTGTCTTTTTCAGTGGTCACAGCACAGCAGATGGCTGGAGCTGCTATGTACGAGTTGGTACGTGTGGGACATTCCGAGCTGGTAGGGGAGATCATTCGATTGGAGGGGGATATGGCTACCATCCAAGTATACGAGGATACATGTATCTTTTCATCAAAAACAATAATTCTGAGATCAGATGTGAAGCAATTGCCCATACATAAAAAAATTACGCATGATATTTATAAGATTTGTGTATTAGAATGCTTCTTTGTCCTCAACATTTATGGCAACAGAGAAATTGCATAATTGCTCATGGTCAATACCCAAAATAAATTCTGAAGCCTTTGCAGGGGATATATATAACTTGTCAGTATTACTTGTTTATTACATAGGTATTACATGTCTTATGCTGTTTTATTATATGAATCCACTTCATCTGACTTCATACTTTCATGTATAAAAGCACATTTTGTAGCATCACTCACAGCTATTGACATGTAAACAATATCATATGACCAATAAAGGACTAAACAGGCTAAATACTTGTAGTAGCATTTGACAGTTTTTGAAGGAAAAATTTCCATGGTTTTGGTTCTGTCTTTAGCAAATGAAATCTAGAATTATAAAACATACATGTACATAAAACATTGGTATACAGCTTTTGATTTTCTTTGACTGTACCCAGCTGGTGTTACTGTGGGTGACCCGGTGCTAAGGACAGGCAAACCTCTGTCTGTAGAACTGGGGCCAGGTATCATGGGTTCCATCTTTGACGGTAAGTATTAGTTACTGCTTGATTTACTCTACCTGGTATCAGGCAAAAAAGTTTTTGAAAGCATTTTTCAAAAAAGGCAATGCTTTTTTTAAGAACATTGAAAAAATTGAATATCTCTATCATTGCTTGGTTATATGTATAAAAAAGGGATGCTTTATTTTTTACCTTGGGTTCTTTTTTTGTAAATGCATGATTGCAATAATTAATGTGATCTTTTTCATTAAAGCTTGAATTATTTTGATTTAAGTGTGATGATGTAATTTCAGGTATTCAGCGTCCCCTAGAGGAGATCAACAAATTAACACAGAGTATCTACATTCCAAAGGGTATCAACACCCCAGCTCTGGACAGACAGAAAAAGTGGGAATTTGAACCTTATGGCAGCATCAGGGTAAAACTTGAAAATCAGAATTTATTAGAGTAGAATAAATCCAAGCAAAACTGTACACTTCAGTGTGTTCATCAAACATTTAGCTTTGGGAAGCTACAAGCAAAATATCTTTTTCCTCATGTACTTATGTACAACACTTTTATTAACTGAAAACCTATCAGAGTTTTTCATTGTGCAAATTTCTTCTTAAATTTTTTTTCCTAATATACAAGATTTTTGATGACAAAAATAAAACTCCTAGGCTGCATACATAAGTGGCATTCTACTTTATTAACACTGAATGCAGGATATACATGGTATAATTTGTAAATAAAGAGTACAAATCAGAGACCTGTTCAACAGAGCAAACTGGCCCAACTCACTTATACCTCCAACACAAAAGTTTGTGAGTGTTCGGTCTGTTTAACAAGCCTCAGTACTTGTATCAAACATTTCACTACACATTTAGTACATTTTTAATAAAACAAAAAGTTATCAAATTGCTCTGTATGTACAGGTTGGGAGTCACGTAACAGGAGGAGATGTGTATGGAATGGTGTACGAGAACATCCTGGTCAAACACAAAATCATGCTCCCCCCTAAAGCTAGAGGGACAGTCACCTGGATAGCTGACCCCGGGGAGTACGATGTCAATGTGAGTAGGCAGGATTTCTTTCAGTGAATTTGTAATCTTGGCATATTGATTTTTAAATCTCTAAACTCTGCTGGAAAAAAAACAAACAAATGAAGGTTAAAAACAGTGTTGGACTGCATAGGGTAAGGGAGATAATAAAGTTGTTGTATCAGAATATTATGGGCAGGAAAAGTACATGTACAAAATGCAAATCACTGTTTTTATTGTACTTTCACCTAATACATGTATTTTATTTTTACTGATATTTATTTAGGATGTGGTGTTGGAGACAGAGTTTGACGGAGAGAAGTCCAAGTTCACCATGTTACAGGTGTGGCCTGTCCGTCAGTTACGACCAGTGACGGAGAAACTGGCCGGAAACCACCCCCTGCTGACAGGACAGAGGGTGCTGGATGCTCTGTTTCCGTAAGCTAGCTTCATTTATATTCATTCAAAAACATACTTTTGATACAAAAACATTGTAAGCATATCTTGATTAGCTGGCAGTACCTCTGTAAGCCTTCAGATATTTTCTGTAAGAGAAGTAAGGAAGTTTCAATTCTAAGGCAGAAAATTAGTCTTTAGGTTAAGACACCTGATTAAAAAAAATCTGAGCCTCTGGAATTGTTGTGTAGAATTTATATATTTGAAAGTAATAAATGTTATGTTCTCTTTTTTAGCTGTGTGCAGGGTGGAACCACCGCTATCCCCGGGGCTTTTGGCTGTGGTAAAACTGTGATCTCACAATCCTTGTCCAAGTTCTCCAACAGTGATGTCATTATTTATGTGGGTTGTGGAGAAAGAGGAAATGAAATGTCTGAAGTATTGAGAGATTTCCCAGAGGTATGGTTGAGTTTATTTATAATTGTAAATTGTTTCAATCTGAAGGTGCATTCATTCTGTGAGAATGGTACTTCATTTCCATTTTCCCATAACGATTTCATTCTGAGTATGTAATATAGTATACATATAAGTATCTGTCCATTGTAGCTGACAATGGAAGTGGATGGTAAACCTGAGAGTATCATGAAGAGAACGTCATTAGTAGCGAACACATCTAACATGCCTGTGGCTGCCAGAGAGGCCTCCATTTACACGGGTACTTAGAAATTGAATTTGATAGATTATCTGTTAAAAATGTTACGCTGTGCTCAGAGAATGCAGAACTGTTGAAAATGAGATACTGATTTGCTTTATCTGTAATTGACTTCAAGTTTGCTTTTTCTTTACAATAAGGTATTACACTGTCTGAGTATTTCCGTGATATGGGTTACAATGTGTCTATGATGGCTGATTCCACATCTCGATGGGCAGAGGCTTTGAGAGAAATCTCTGGTCGTCTGGCTGAAATGCCTGCTGATTCGGGTTATCCTGCCTACCTCGGAGCTCGCTTAGCTTCCTTCTACGAACGTGCAGGTCGTGTCAAGTGTATCGGAAATCCTGAAAGAGAGGGCAGTGTCAGCATTGTTGGAGCGTGAGTAGTTTTAAAATGAAGTCAGTAGACACTAACTTTATTCTGCATATGATTTAATTCCCCATTTTTAGCTCTACTGGTCAGAGACCAGAAGAGCTTATGCGATAGTAATGCGTCCGGCATCCGTCCGTCTGTCCGTCTGTCTGTCTGTCTGTAAACAATTTTTCAAAATGCTACTCCTCCTACAGTTTTGCTCTGATTTCAATATAACTTGGCACACAAGTAGACTACACTAAGATACATAATTCTGTGTATCGGTTTTTGATTTCGATAAACGGTGTTGCCGTGGTAGCTAAAAATAGAAATTTCTGTGAAATTTCTTTCAAAATGCTACTCCTCCTACAGATTTCAATATAACTTGACACAAGTAGCTACACTAAGATACATAATTCTGTGTATCGGTTTTTGATTTCGATAAACGGTGTTGCCATGGTTACTAAAAATAGAAATTGCTGTGAAATTCTTTCAAACTGCTACTCCTCCTACAGTTTTGGTCTGATTTCAATATAACTTGGCACACAAGTAGACTACACTAAGATACATAATTCTGATTATTGGTTTTTGATTTTGATAAACGGTGTTGCTGTGGTTACTAAAAATAGAAATTTCTGTGAAATTCTTTCAAAATGCCACTTCTCCTACAGTTTTGGTCTGATTTCAATATAACTTGGCACACAAGTAGACTTTACTAAGATACATAATTATGTATATCAGTTTTTGATTTCGATAAACGGTGTTGCCGTGGTAACAAAAAATTGAAATTTCTGTGAAATTTCTTTCAAAATGCTACTCCTCCTACAGTTTTGGTCTGATTTCAATATAACTTGGCAAACAAGTAGACTACACTAAGATACATAATTTTGTGTATCGGTTTTTGATTTTCATGAACGGTGTTGTCGTGCTTAGTAAAAATAGAAATTTCATTAAAATTGTTTCAAAATGCTACTCCTCCTACAGTTTTGGTCTGATTTCAATATAACTTGGCACACAAGTAGACTGCACTAAGATACATAATTCTGTGTATCGGTTTTTGATTTCCATGAACGGTGTTGTCGTGGTTACTAAAAATAGAAATTTCTGTAAAATTGTTTCAAAATGCTAACAGTTTTGGTCTGATATAACTTGGCACACAAGTAGACTACACTAAGAACATAAAGAGACTTTATCATAGATCATTATTCTATTTATTGCTGTTGTAAAGTTTCAATTCCCAATTGCTTAAGTACTTTTCTCTTCCTTTGCTATAAGTACAAACCAGTAGAGCTTCAGTCTCAACAGAGACTTCTGGTTTAAGTCTTTGCATGGTATGCCAGAGTTATTTCTTATTTATTCAGAACTTTAGGCAGTTTGGAAATTAAGATACATGTAACTATATTCTTCCATGATCAGTGTACATGCATTAGATAAAGATATCATGCAAAAAAAAAAAAATTTGAGTATGTAAATTTATTTTTGGCGTTCCTTGTATATATTTCAGTGTGTCTCCCCCTGGTGGTGACTTCTCTGACCCTGTAACCTCAGCCACCCTGGGTATTGTACAGGTGTTCTGGGGTCTGGAGAAAAAGTTGGCCCAGAGAAAGCACTTCCCTGCCATTAACTGGCTCATCTCCTACAGCAAGTACACATGGGCTCTAGAGGAATTCTGTGACAAAAACTTCCCCGACTTCACTCCCCTCAGAACAAAGGTTTGCTTTTATTCTCGTGAAAGAATTCCATGAACATAGAGAATCTTTACTATAAAGAAACAATTTTCAAGTCCTATTGAAATCCTTATATCCACGATTAAATCTATTGTTTTAAGTTGAAGTTGAAATGTTGGTGTAATCTGAATATTGTGACGAGTTTCCTGAAATTGAAATAGAAAGTCTGATCAAGTTTTATTTTCTAGTTATACTCTGATCAGTAACATTGTTCTACATTTGAAAAGCTAAGTTTTCATGTATGTATACTTGAAATTGAATTATAGAGCCATTCTTTTGTAGTGCAAAGAAATTCTGCAGGAAGAGGAAGATCTGTCTGAAATCGTACAACTGGTCGGCAAGGTCTGTTAACTATATAGAGCATTTGTTAGGTGATGTTGCATAGAAACAGTGCTTTAACCCTTTCAACACTGTAGACCGATACATCGGTCTGATAAAATTTTCTCTTGGAACACGGTAGACCGATACATCGGTCTCAGACACTAAACTGAAAGTAAAACGTTTATTCTTAGAAATAGAAAGTGTTCTCTGCGCAAAATCTTTCGCTATGAATTATGGGTAGAATGATGTAAACATCCGTTAACAAATATGGCGGACCACGTGGCAAAAACCACGAAAAAATAAGGAAAATTAGATGATTAGTAAAGAAAACGAAGAAGAAAGCAAAATGGCGGTAAACAAGGAAATGTCCGATCTTTCTGTCGATGAAAGATTTAATAAATTCAGGGAATTAGACATGTGTCTAGACAACAAAAATACGAGTTTTTAACAATGTTGTGAAATCTTGTCGCAGAAAATTGACTCGGAATCGGAATATCAAGGCTCCTAAACTGAGGATGTTTTCCACGCCCCAGACTTCTTCCCATGTCCTGAAACACCCTGTTTTATTTATTAATAATTATGGACACTTTTAAATAAATTCTGACATATTGCATATCATTTTACTGTAATTTCTCTTTTGAACTATAATTGATTTTGAAACTTCATAGCAGCAAATTTATTAAATTATTGCATAAGATCCGTTATAAAATGTAATTGTGAATTTTATTAGTGTTTTTGACTTGCTAAATAATATTTTATATCTATAAAATTTATATCATTTAAAAGAGAAATGCACCACCTTTCCAATGATGTGTCATTTATTAAAATATTCAAAGAAATAAAGAAGTTATAGTATTTTTTGTGACGGAAGGTGAAATGTTTAGTGATGCCCCAAGTTACTCAGTGTACCAGGGGTTGGTTGATAAAAGTTACTCAGTGTTGAAAGAGTTAAATACTACAAAACAAATGTAAATTCCAACTTAGTCTTTATATGAAGTTCAAACAGAAGTTTGTTTTTTTAACAGGGTTCACTAGCAGAGGCAGACAAGATCACTCTGGAGGTGGCTAAATTGATCAAGGATGATTTCTTACAACAGAATGGTTACACACCTTATGACAGGTAATAAATCTAGCAATCATTTGTAATAAAATACCTGTACATTCGAACATATGTACAAGTGAGCAATGTAACATTATAATGGTTTCATTTCCACATTTATGGAAATGTGTTTAATAATTTTATTAATTATTGATGTGAGGAAAAAAAATTGTTTAAAATACTCAGCCCACATATGATATGTACCAACAGGACACAAAATGTAGCATATTTTTTAAATATGTATTTTTGGATCACAGAAAATCAACAAAATTCATTGAAAATAAAAATTTGGATCATATTTTTACCCCAGTTTCAGTATTCTCTAGGCTCCTGTATAGCACATGTATTTAGGTCTGAAACTTACCTCCTGTATCTGTACATGACTTTATGTTTGTTGCAGATTCTGTCCCTTCTATAAGACTGTGGGTATGCTGAAAAACATCATTGCATTCTATGACATGGCCAGGCATTCAGTGGAGAGTACAGCACAAAGCGAGAACAAAATCACATGGGCCATTATCAGAGATCAAATGAACGACATCATCTATAAGCTCAGCAGCATGAAATTCAAGGTATACAGATCATCTTATATCCTTAAAAAAATGTGTGGTAACAATTGCTTTAAAGTTCCATGTACCTAAATATGCCTTTTTTCATGAAACTCATTGTTAAGAATTGAACATGAAATTCATTTGAATTTTAATTTATAAAGTTCGGCTTGAAGTTTTGTACATTTTACATTTTAAAAATCTGACTCCTTTCAACCATAATCTAGAAAACTTCAAATAAAATAATTGAGCAAAAGCTCCATTAGGCACATTTGATAGCTAGTGTATAGTGATAATAGTATCTATAGATGTAACTTTCTTCAGTCAAAAAGTAACGAGATCAGAAAATGAGACTTTTGTACGAAATGATATCTAATCCTCTTATTTTGCAATTTATTTTAAATTTAGGATCCAGTTAAAGATGGAGAGAAGAAGATTAAGCAGGATTATGATGATTTACATGAAGAAATGCAGACAGCATTCCGTAATCTGGAGGACTAATTACTGTTATAGATTAAATTATTCCAATTAATAGAAAACAAAGACACTATTGTTTATGTGGAAATGTAGAAAAATCAGTGAAATGTTGCAGGAATCAGTATTCTAGTCAAATTAAATTAGATTTTTTTTGCTTCCATGACAGCAGTCAATTTCATCAGGACCTGCAATAGTACATGTTTATGTATATTATAAGTTATAGTCCCTGGTCTGTTCAACTTTTAAAAGTAAAGGATCCATGAATCCAGAGAGCCAATCCATTGTCTCAAAGTTACTGAATACAGCTTTGACTGTGTTATACATGTACATCACATACTAGCTGCTGGGTAAAGCCAAACTGTCGACATAATGTATTATTGGGCATTTGGTTACATTTTGAAATCTACAGTGTATAAATTTATGAAATATTCAGTTAGAGTGTTAAGGATAATCTTGCTGGTGATGACCATTTATTTTCTAGACAAATCATTCCATATGTTATACTTGTGTATATGAAATAGTGCTGTGTGAATTTATAGATTTTATTTTGTAGACTGGAGACTTGTCAATTAATGAACAAATATTTCTTTAAACGCATCTAAGTTTCATATTTTTGTTCCATTTTTCTGCATCAACTGTACAGATTGACTATTGATGATAGAGGTTGAGTCTTTATATATTTGGTTATTTAATACAGTTGTAATTTCTAAATTTGTATTTAACATTTGTGATATGATACAGAATATTTTGGATGAATTATGATATTTGAGGGTACTATACAAATCTTGTTTTTAACATATATACAGTTTATGTGATAGCCCTGTAAAAATTGAAACTTGTACTGTAGCTCCATTTATTGTACACACTTTCACAATACATTACTAATCTTTATACATCTCTACATGTTAACCAAGAAAATAAAATGAATATGCAGATTCTCTACTTTTTATTTATTTTTACATATATCTATATATATACAAATCTAGACAATTATGGCACATGACCCATTTTCATGGTTTTACTATCAGTAATTTTATGATTGTGTCGAAGACTAATATTGAGGCTAAAGCAAATAGGTCTTAACATCATCCTTATGAGTAAACATGCACAAAAAAGCAAAGTACCGGTATCATAAAAAAAATTCTTACATATTCAAAGCACACAGTGCTTATATAAAAACTGTAAATGCACATAGTGCTAATATAAAAACTGTAAATACTAGTACACATATTCAGATTTTTCTATGAGATTTTCTGATGAGGTGGAGGGCTGATCCATCTGTCAAAATAAAGAAATGGAAATATGGGAGCTCTCTCCTTAGGATAGTCTGGGAATGTCTCTTGATACCACCGATGAGAGAAGTAAGCAGAGAATGTTTGGTTCACGAAAACAAAGAGCCATATGGCATTGACCACCGAGTGCCTCCACCAGAACATGCCGGTGTATACACTATAGATCAGGACCTCCATCAGGTAGTGGGGACAGGAAACATGGTCAAACAGGTCCCCCTCAGGTAACAGGTGCTTGTCTGTTACTACGGCACCTAAAATTAAAGTTCAATGTTTAAATACAATTGTGCATCGATTAAAAAAAGTGTTGCTTTGAATCTTAGGGATGGGATAAAGCATTTTGTTATGGAAGGTTCTTGAAATTTTTACTAAATCCACAGTTTAACTTAACCACTTCTCAGTCTGCAGTATTCAATATTGTTTTGAGAGAAATGAAAAAAAATAATGATTGTTTTTATTTTACATTTGTTGAAATTACTTTTTAATTCTTATAAATTCCATTTTGCAATGATGAAGAAGAGCTTAAATATTTTTATGCCCCCCTCTGAAGAAGGGAGGGCATATTGCTTGCTGCTGTCTGTCGGTCTGTCAGTCCATTTAGTTTTCATTCATTTTCTTCATAACTGTTGCACATACTGAAATGAAATTTGGTATACAGGTATATCAGATGAATATCTAGGTCAAGTTCTGTTTTGGGTACGAACGCACCATAATTAAAAGAGTTATGCCCCTTGGACTTAGAAAAATTCCAATTATTTGCAGTTTCCGTTCATTTTCCTTGGAGTCTCAGGTTGCACATATTAAAATGGAATTTAGTATACAAATTAGTCAGATGAATATCTAGGTCAAGTTGTGTTTTGGGTACAATCGCACCATAATTGACAGAGTTATGCCCTTTTGGACTAAGAAAAATTCCAATTTGTGGGGGAGGGGGCATAAGTGTTTTACAAACATCTCCTGTTGTTCTTTAAAACCTAGCTTTCACTATACATCAACCACATGCATACATGTATCATACACATTGTCTCCGTTTTTCTTTTTATACCTAAGTTATAGCTTTAATGTTAAAAACTTGCCTTTCTGATTACGTCTCAGGTTAGCTAAAATGTTGTTGAGGACATGCTGTTTGTAACTGCTGTAGATAAACATGGCTATTAAGAGATAATGATACCAGTCAAGACCTGTCCATAGCTCACCTGTGAAAAAGAACAAGTGGTCATTTTATCCCTGGATTTGTAATATATATATTATATTAAAGAATGTATTGTATTTAGCTGTGATCACTTGGCACACCTCGGTTGATTCCTACCTCATCTTTGATGAAGGTTGACGGAATTACTGTAGAAGTACTTTTTTCCGCGTGGTATTAATTTACGCTATGTACGCGGTCAAAAAGTTTCCGCGGAAATTTATCCAAGCGTACTAAATATAAATGTAAGGCATATAGTGACAATCTAGAAAATCCGCGTAATTTTCTACCCGCGGACTAAACAGAAATTGAGATTCCGCGGAATTATGACCCCGTGGAAAAAAGTACGTTTACAGTAGCTGAAAGCTGTGATAACTTCATAATTTACTTTACAAGTATTTTAAACTCATTTTATGATTATTCATAACACCGCTGAAAAACTCAGTCTGAGAGATAATCACTATTATGCAGGCTTGGCTGTTAACAAACTTAATTCTGAATCTTTGCCAGATTTAAAGTATATAAATATAAAGTGTAGGTATTAATAAATGTACTAACCGAATGAGAGTGATTTCTCCTGCATGACTGACACAATATTGAGCCCTAGAAAACAGTAGAAGGTAACTCCAGTGAGATAGATGACAATGCTCATTGTACCATGGGAATAACTGTTGATGTAGACACATTCCAATAGTCGCCTAAACATCTGCACCTCTCCCATCAACAAGACGACAATTACTGGAGCAGGGGAAAGTAACTCTGCAAAAGTTGTAAAAAAAAAAATTCTTACTAAATTAATTCATATATCGATCTATATACAAATAAGTTTTTTTTTTCTATCTTTTTTAAATATTTAAAAGTTTTTGTATCATAGTGTTTGTTTGGGATTTAACCAGGGATTTTTTTTCTAGTCTTCAAAATTAAATTAATTCATGCATCCATGCAGGAAAGAGAGGAAATATATGACCAATCCCCACAAGATATGATTCAAGTAATAAGTATGACTTAAAAGCAAACTTTCACCAGTTCAAAACCCAGCTTTCCATGAATTATGGAAACTGTCATATAGATTATATCCTCCAACTGAGGGAACTTTCTGATCTTGAAATATAGGCAGGTGCTCTACCAATGGTATTAGAGTGTCCAACAACCCAAGAATGCTTACTGGACATTCTAGTAGAAATCTCTAACTTAATTATGTTAATCTTACAATCCAATGTATTTTTACAAAACATATTGTTTGCTTGTCCAGTCTCTTGATCAGGATAAAATTATTGGGGCGGTAAGTAGGACGTAAAATATTTTCATTCAGAAAATTTCAACAAATATGTTGACAAAATAAAAGGTAAAAAAAAAAAATAATGTCTTGAAATGTAAAAAAGAGTTTTAGTCAGGCCATTTTTAGTCAGTCAGATTGGAGAGGGCTACCAAACATTTTTTTTTAAATGGCCTCATATAAAACCATTTATGGGCCTGTAACCCAGTACGGTACCTTCTTGTGATGCTGGAGTCCTGATGTAACCCAGAATTAAAGATAATGGTTTGGGAAACTCCTCTGCCACACAGACTGAGTACACTGTCACAGCAATAAAAGGTGTGTGAACAATGAGCCCAAAAAGATAAAAGTGGTAGAACCATCTGTAAAAATATAAATCAATTTTCCCCAAGTTAAAGCTACTGGCACGAAGTTAATGTAAACATTGAGTATCATTTACTTCCATTGCCCTGTGATAAAATCTATATTTTTTACTATAAAATTAACTTCAATGTTTTTAAACTTACTTTTTCTTTATTTATAAATGAACAATTACATATAGACCCTTTTACTATGGCATATTTTGTCTAGGAGTTATTCCCCTTAGCCGCCATACTGTAGGCCAAAGTGGTGTGTTTACCTCTTTGAGCAGAGACGTACATGTATTTAGAGATTCTTATATGTTTAATTCTGCTTTGAGCAACCAATTTTTAACATTCATGCAAGCAATGTATGGGGGAAAATATTTACAATCTTAAAACAATGAATTTATAGAGGCTTTGACAGACGTATACAAAAAAACTTTACCTCAGTAACCAGTATAACAAATTGAACTTGGGTGGATAATAATGAAGGGATCTGGGAATGTTACCCTACAATATGGCGGCTGAGGGGAATAACTCCTATGTAAAATATGTCAAAGGAAAAGGGTGCCAAAAATGCGCTGTGTGTGTTTTTTTGGTTGTTTTCTTTTCCTACTTTCACTTTCCATTACCGTACCTCTTAGGAACTTGGAGAAAATTTGAAGTTAGGTTGTATTCCTTCGTGTAACGAAACTTTCCAAAAATAAACAAATTGTTTATAACCTTTGTTTGTAATCTCTTGTCTGTTGTCACAATGAATCCCAAGACAGTTCCAAATGCCAAAAGTATCCAAATATAACAAAGATACACCATCTTTTCTTCCTTCTAGGCCTTTCGAGGCACCGTGTAATACATGGACTGGAGGCTTGGAGTAGAGTTATGGAGTGGAGTTTTCAGTCAAATTTTGGAGTCTAAGATTTTTTCTAACATGAAAGAGAAAAAGATCTTTCATAACAAATTGCCTAGCAAAAGATACATGTATATCTCTTCCCCAGCTTGCTTTCTCTGGGCTACATAACAAACGTCAATTTTAACCACCTCCCTCCCTTCACTAAAATAATCAGTCCAATTTATGATTGAACGTCTGGAAAGTCTATTGTTTTCATAAACCTTGTACATTATAAGATATTTCAAAGGAACTTTCAAGTTATACGTCAAACTTTACATCCGTTCGTTTCTCGAGTAAGACTGTCACAAGCATTTTTCGTCCCTTTTGACGTCATTTTCACATTGTGACGGCACAATGTTGGAGAAAATCATTACTTTTCATAAGCTATTTATAGAACATTTGCATGACTATATGTGTGTCAAATTTCATTGTGATCTGAATCGTGGTTTTGTAATTGTAGAGATAGTTCGCGAACTTTTTGATCACCCTGGCCTCGTATTATGCATACAGCTAGTACATCAGTGACTCCTCATGTTACCAGTTTAGAAGTTAAAGGAGTCGACATTTCCTATTTCTAACGCAAAACCACGCATATACCGTTTCCCTGCAATCACGCATATTTCATGCACTTTAAAAAGTAAATTTAATCTTCAGTTTAATGCCAATACCCTTTTATTTTATACTTGCTAAAATATCGTAAAATAAATTTAAAAAAAAATAATCTTATAAAAATATTACGTCTTTTAAAATTATTTACGCTTAATTTTAATTTAGAGAAACTTGTACCGGGCTATAAGGTGCTTGCGGGGAAAAGGTTAAGTCATATTTTTATGAAGTGAAGATTAAGTGTATGTTGTGTCACATTTCCGTAAGTTGTAAAGAGTTGATAAGGACAAACTACTACAAAACCAATCAACACTTTGTTCTCACTAGAAATCTGAAAAGACCCATATCTATTATTTTTGAGGGTGAGGGAGTGACAACCTAAGATTAGCTATGTTACTTTTAATGCAAGGAAGTAAGGGTGTACGTAGACCCATTCATATATTCATTTTAAGAGTGGTATAATGTGTGTAACTTATTTTCATTTTATTTATTACTAGTAATTGCTAAAAGTCCTAAACCTTATAGCTATTGACAGATTTGTTGACACATCCAATAACACTGTATCTAAGAACCAGTAAGACTACTGATATCTACCTATTAATTATACTGAAGAGTTTCCAAACATTTTGAAAGAACAGGGGGTTGTCTTGTCAGCATCACTTTGGTCTATTTACATCTGATGTAATTTTTTTCGAATTGCCAATCTATTAAGTAACAAGACATAAATATGAAAAGCCAAGATCATGCCAAAAATCTTTTTATGCTGATGTAATTTGTTTAACAACTTTTTTCTTTCATGTTTAAAAAAAACTAGAGGCACTGTGAGCAACGAGCTCACTAAATGATACCCCCGCCTCCCATATGTGTAACAAGGAAGTGTCCTTGTTTTGCTACGGGAAACCCAAAATATGTGTCGGATCAAAAACTAAGATAGGAGGTGCACAATAGCAATATATAATAAAGATTCTGTGAAAGTTTCATCAAATTTCATTCAGTGGTATGAGAGGAGTTGCGGATTGGTAGCCCAAAAGTGTAACAGACAGACGGATGGACCGACGTACAGCTAGACGGACGTACGGACAGACGGACGTACCGATTACTATATACCCTCCCGCTTTTCAAGCGGGGGGCATAATGATATTAGACTCCCAAAATTTGACTCCCGACTCCACTCCATAATTCCACTCCAAGCCTTCAAACCATGAATTACACAGTGCCTCTTTTCTTCAACAGCTTGGTCAATACACCCCATGGGAAAGCAGCCCCAGTCAAAGCGCCTCCTTACAATTGTTCTATCGTACCTAGAATTTATCACGGGTTCAAACTGTGTCACTTTTTATTTCGTATATTGTATGCCTACGATTTTGCAATAAGCAGAAGTAAATTACTAGTATTCTTATTAAATAACTTAATCAGAGTCGCGATTTGTTCGTCTTTCAGTCAAAATATATTCATAATTTATAGTTACTAGGCAAACTTAATGATGCTGCTTGATTTTTTTTTGAAACTGAAATCATACTTACTGCAGAGCTTATAGGATGCCTAATTAACATAGACTCAAATAATTAATTTCTTAATACATTTTTATTAAAGTTAAAGCAATACAAAATGTGAGCAGATCCACGAACGAACCTCTAAAAAGAGAAGTGGAATCAGATGCCATGTAAGAAATCCTTGTCATGAATTTCGTTTTTCTTACAATTTAGTCGTTACATTAGTTGGCCTTATCATCTTAGGCCAGTAAAATATCCAAATATGAAACAGATGTGACACACTCTGTGCAAGTCGTGTCTTTTATTTCACGTTTTACTGTGGCATATAAAAAACATTCTCGTATGAGAGAAAGTTGTAAAGAGGAATAATGACCCCCATCGAATAATGACCGGGGGGTCATTTTTCAACGACAAAAATGACCCCCAATCCGTAGAAAAAAATAATTTTTTGTAGAAAAAGAGTCCTAGGGGTCATTATTTTATATGTTAGTCCTATAAAAAATTGACCCCCATTGAAAAATGACCCCCTTTAAAGTGATAAAAAATATACACTCTTTGATATCTTTTTTATAGCGAAACTAATTTTTACATTTTCTGTAACAGAAAAATACAAAAAGTCGTATGAAATAATTAAGAGATTCAGGTAGTCTTTCAATGCTAAAATTGTGTTTGAAAAGAGATTCTTTAATTGTCAAGTAAATAAAATTTCTTCTTAATATTCCTCCTTATAATGTTTGCTTAAAGAATGATATTCCACTTGTTTTTAGAAATCAAACCATGCAACAATCAGGTTTAAATACTCTTTAATAGGAAAAATTTATTTTTCCTTCATTTCAACTTTTAGCTTAAAGAACATTACGTTAACTCAAAACAAACAAAATATAATAAATGAAAAAGCAAACGGGTGCGAACTCTCAAGCATTCTCGGGCATGCGTAGCCTGTCGTTTGCCCATGGCATCCGGTTTAACCTCGCTACGGACAAAAGGGTCATTTTTCTACATCGAATAATGACCGGGGGTACTTTTTCGCCGTAGAATATTGACCGGGTGTCATTTTTCGCTGTCGAAAAATGACCCCCGGTCACTATTCGATGGGGGTTATTATTCGTCTTTACAAAGTAACCATTGTTGATTAATAATACATTACTACAGTAATCGACAATTCATTTATAAATGTCGAGACCAACCAAGTGTCTTCCTCTTCTTATCTAGAAGTTTTTGAATAAATTCTGCTTCCAGGGAATTTAAAACAGATCAGCTAATACTGGAGTATGATAAGTGCCCAAATCAGCATCCTAACAATCCGCTGGTCTACAAATACTGCATCCTTTAATTACAACCAATCACAAGATAAAAAAAAAAATTCGACTTCCATTCTTATTGAAGAAGCAGTTATCTACGATATTCAAAAGCACAGTTTTTAAGATACGGTGAGGAATGGTTGTATGAAGTGTAGAAAAGTCGTTCGTTTTGAAGTTATATAATCACTCGCGCAATAAAATAACTCGCTTTTAATTTTTTTTTTTTGATGGTGCTGAAATCTTAGTCTGGTCCCCTTCCCACAATTCCGTTCGCGCACTCTCTACATTGAGGTCAGGCATCGGTTGATTCACTGTTAGACGTTGCGCAATTTCAAAATGGAGGACAAAGTAAGTAACCATCTCGAGAAATAATTGCTCATATCTATTTGTTTTACATCATGACAACTTATTTCATCAATGCTTACTGTTAACCAAAGTTGTTTTCTATTTATTTTTTTATTCATTTGATTTATTTTGCGTAAATTTACACTGTTATCACTGGATTAAAAAATGTTTACATTTTAAGAACGTGGAGGTAGTCAAAATTGACCCCCAATATTTCCTTTGTCGTGGACCGACATCAAAATTTTATTGTCTAGTCTAATGTATATATGAATGATCTATGTTAGGATATACAATGTTTTATATGTCGCTCCTTATTTAATATAGTAAAAGCACCCCAGATTTTTTATCATAATTCTATCAACAATTAGCATGTGCTCTGGCCTACTATTGCATATATTTGACATAAAACAAAGGTTTAATGTTTCTATACTGTTTGTGTTTTGCTGTCCATGCAATCATCATATAAGTTGAAAAGGGGAAGGGATTAAACCCCCAGTGTATTTATTTTGTTTTATTATGATTCCCCTAGCTGGTCCCTTAATTTCCTTCCACTTTACCAAGCATAATATTTACATGATAGCGTGAGTCTAACATGTAATTTTCATGAAGGCTTGTGGAAGTGAATCCCACCACTATACAGATGTTTAGCAGTTAGAGGTGGTGCTACTTTGGTAGGTCACCACAATCTATTAATATCCTTGCATACATAATAATTTTTCATACAACTGTAATGCCAACTTGCCAAGGCAATACATTTTGAAAAATGTATCAATCCTTTTTATGTTGTAACAGGTTCTTTATAGCTTTCAGATAATCATAAATATCTCTATTTTGTATGTTGGTTTTTTTTTTTTAGGCTTTTCCATCGTTCATTGCATAAATTTCATAAAATTTACCAGGATACCGAAAACAAATCCTCTGTATTAAAGACATGATGGTCAGCCAAAAGACAGCATGGAAGCCCAACAGGAACAACCCCTCTACAGCCCATTTATAAGGTGATACAGTTTAAACTTGCAGAGTAATTTGTTTAAATTAATCTTGCACACCTTAAAATGTTTGTCCTTTTCTCCAAGTCATTCCATGGTTGCAATCTTATTTTAAGTACAATTCAATGAACAGACAACAATGATAAAACCGTGAAACAGATTTATCAGTTCAAATGATATGAGCTATGAGGAGAGTAAGTCAAATTAATTATAAATTATTT